TAATATTACAAGTTTACACAGTTGAATTAGATTGATAAAGCTAGGCTTTTTCTCTTACTATGCTTGGGAACAGGAGTTGCAGAAAACTGGTCCAGTCTTAGTAGTTCTCCCACAACCCCTTTCTGACCACGCTCCAGAATATGAGTGGCATTTGGGCCAATACGAGGGCGGCAGCTCGGGGTTCGAGTACTGTAGCTGTGCGGGTTCAAGACTGGGTCTGGAGAAAGTGGACCCAGGAGAAAGGCCAGGGTCCCATCATGGTTTCCTTCCAAACGGCCTCGAGCTGGAGGAGGTGAGGCTATAAGTTTAAAGTTATTGTGTCTTTTTTTTTTTTCTTCAAACTTGATTAAACAGATGCTGTCCCTTCAACACGACTAAGTTTGAGCTATTTCCAAAAAATCACCTTAGGTTTCTAACACCTAAAGACATGCATAGGTGTCAAATGTTTATCTTTAAAAAAGAAATCATACATCATATTTACTTACATTATTGGGCTTCTTTGCATAAATTAATGAACAACATACATTGAACGTTTTGGTGATGTGACAAAATGTAAGAAATTCAAGGAGAATGAACACTGTCTTGTTTATCAAAGCACCTGCAAGTCAGTCCATACTAACTTCAAACCAGCATTGCCTTTGATATTTCTACCTAGAAAAAAGTCATTCCTGCTAAATCATCCATCTTTACAGTAATGAAAATGTTCAAATAATAATGAAAAGATCCAATGAGCATAAATTTGAGATGACATCCTACAGTACCTGAAACAGGTCGTCTGTAGTACTGCGGAAATAGAGAAGGATCTGGGGGGATTGGCCCAGATATTTTAGAAGGTCCCTCACACATCTGAAAGGACAGAAACCGCTGTAAGAAATACAGTTTCAGTTAAGAAACATTCAAATAAAACGGACGATTGCCGATTTCTTTACCTAACAATAACTGTATTCTTTACATATTTCCAGATAGATACATCTACAATGACTAGGATAAAACATGTTACTGCACTAGAAAAAAATCCAAATCTAGATAAGTCTTTTTTTTTTTTTATTAAGTGCATTTGATTTTGAATTGAGGAGGTGAGTGAGACACTTTTCCAATGGAACAAGACAATTTACACAATTGCATTGTCTTATTTCAAGAGCATATAATCTAATTATCTTATTTTAAGAGTAAAAATACTCATACCATTGGCAAATCATCTTATTTACCTACTCGAATTAATGGTAAAAAGACTTAATGTAATAATTTTTTTACTTATTTCTAGATTGTTTTTGCAGTGTGATTATGTTTGGTTTGTAACTAAATCTGACGATTAGGGTAATTGATTACAGTTTCTAAGTGGATTAAAGGCTGAATAAAGGTTAACATGTAAACAAATAAAACCGATATTAAAAAACAGTAACATATAGCGATGTAAAGGAACAGCTTTCTACGGCTAAACGTAAACCACAGCCATTGTTTGCTCTCTTTAAAGCAAGCTAACCATCATACACTCTTTTCTTCTTCTTCTGTCTATGGATTAAGAGAAACAAAGAGCTATTTTTATTTTCTAAAACCCCGCAGATGCGAAAAGTGTACCTAACAGCCGCGTTTACCTCTTCCAACTGAGTTGTTGTTATCGGTTATCGTTGAGGGATTTTGTTCACGCGCACCACTGACGCCGATCAGCCCTGCACTTGTTGTCCAGTTCCTCACCATGGCAACGGAGCACGCGCAGTCAGATCCAGACCAGATAGAAGTGCAACGATCGAAGGGAATTCAGACTTTGCTCTACCAGACAACGTTTACCAGGTAGTAGGACCATACTATTATGTGTAGGACAGGGCGGGGCCTTTCCACGCACATAATAAAAATCTAAAATAAAAATGACAGCAGGAGCACGTTTTATAGCATATTAATTGAGCCAAAAAGCCAATGTTGCGCCAGGGGCGGAGCTAAAGGGGGGGCCAGGGGTGGCCATGACCACTCTTAGCCAATAATTTGCCACCCCTACCATTTTCCCCCCATAATACTGACAGTGGCAGCAGTAATGCTCTCAAAATGTTTTAACTTTTCATAGATTGACAATTACTTAAAAGAAAAAAGTTAGAACTGTACATTTTTACTATTTTTCAAGGCTGCTTTTTAAAAAAGATGAAGTTGTCCAGTGAGCTGTTCCAAACGAAATGTATTTTTGTTTTACACCTGTGTAAACAAAATGACAAATAAAATCTGTCCAAAGTCTAAAGTCTAAGTCTACTTGACAACAAAAACACTGTGGTTAATTATGCACATCAATATACTAACGTTAAAGATGATAAATACAGAATTCAGGCTCTTTTCAGAACTAGATTTTGTGTTTTATGGGGTAAAGAGAGAATGCAAGTCAGTCTCCACGTAAATCATAGATAAATAACTATTCTTATAAAAGCTTAGTAAGTAAACAATTTTTGTAGATATTAGTACTTGTAAATATCAATTTTATGCAGAATGATTATTGATAAAAGTGGGTAAGTAATGACAATGGAAAAGATATTCGAACAGCAGTCAAACCTGAAAGAACTTTATCCACTATACCTTTTATCTAGATGGATGTTTAATTATATGCGTCTATTTGTTAGCAAAGGCTGTAGAAAAGTATAGTTTGTCTTTATTTGGAAAATATGTTTGTTGTGGTTGTTAATTTTCCTGTTGGATCAGTATAGATTGACCCTAAGGTTCTGGTGCCGATCCGCTGTCAGCCACCCGACAGTGTACATCGGTTATTGCCTGGCCACCCTTATAAAACTCTTCTGGCTACGCCTCTGCTGATCTAACAGACAAAAACTGCAATCCTGTTTTAGTGGTTAAAACATAAAGGTGATTGAAATTTCTAAATAATTGTTGAAGTAAACTGTCTAGGCAGCAATATTTATTACTAATTATTACTTCTTTCACTGCATGTCACCATAAGGAAGTGGCTTAGAGTTACACAACAAAAAATATCTAAAAAAGTACAAATACTCTTAAAAAAATGAAAAAAATATTTGCCCATAATTTGAGCAGGTAAACAGGAATGGGTATTTCTGCTCTTGGTTTCTATTGTCACTTAAAATAAGACAGTTGAGATGTTTTTATTATTACTTTAAACATCTAATATCATCTAGTGTCATCTGCAAATTATCTTATCTCCGTAAATCAAAATACACTTTCTTAAAGAAAAAAGCATCTACTTAAATTTGTCATGATTCTGCTTTTTTTGGTTCTGTTTAATTTTCTTTTTGAGTTTTCATTGGTTTCATTTCCATTTTGTGTTGTTTTCTGGTTGAGTTTGAGTTCTTATGTATTTGTTGTTTACCCGGTACCCTCTGTTTCCCTCTTGTGTCAGTCTCTTTCCCCTAGCTCCCTTCTAGGTTCTTCTGTCCACACCAGCTCCCAGTCAGTTAAATACCCTAGTCTTTTTTCTATTTGGCATATATACTCCTCCTCTTCAGTTACTGTTTGTTAATTCCTCGTAATTTCTTGGCTCATCATGTGTGTTTTCCCTGATGTCTCCTGGATTTTGTTTTTTCTGTATTTTGTTTATGGATTTTTGCTTCTGTTGAAACCTTTTGGATATAAATCTGCAAGAAACCACCTCAACTTCCATCTCTGTATTTGGGTCCTCTTCAAACCTCCACACAACCTGACAAAATGTAAATCTTTAAAGGGGCTAGGAGTACCAGGACCAGTTCTACAGAAGCATTGACCTTGCATTTTAACCTGCTGTAAATCTAAAACTCAAAACATGTTTGGTATGAACCCAGGATTACCTATATAAATAACATTGTAGATCAATTTAATTCTATAAAACTGACCCTATTATATGCTCACATAATGCTTATTAAATGAGCATTTAATGAAATTAGCCTTTGAGGCGCTGTGAGGTTTACAACAAAAGGAGAGGATGTTCATCTAGAGTCGTACACATTATTAGTGAAAACATGATTATATAGATGAAACACAAATATATACACACAAAACAAGAAACATTAAATATAAACACATATTTGCAACAATATAAATTTATGTAGTTCTGATTTTGAGGTTATGGTACAATTTTCCTGATAGTTTGGAAGGATGTACTCTTTGCTAACATTAAGGGCCTATTTTCTTTGGAGCTACTAGGCTTTACTTCAGGATGCACTGGCATACAGGGTGGACTTGCTACCTCTGATACTTTTTCTCATTGGAATTACTAATAAGCAATGTCATTATGTGCACTGACATGAATAACACAGAATGATCCTTCAGCTGTTGGAGGGCGGGGGTTTATTAGGTAGCAAGTGATCATTAAGGATTGTAGTTTAAGATGTGGCTTACTTTTAATGGCTTAGTAAGAGCTTCTGCAGGTCTAGGTTTCTTTTTGAGTGGTTCTGGTCAACAGTTTTTAGAGTTTATCAAAAGTGATCAATAATGAACCAAAGACTAAATCAATGAGGCTGAGACATGTGTGATCCAGCCGATCACCTCAAACTGTTTAAGCATTTCATGTTTCTGAAGGAAGAGTTTTCATAATGCAGTTTTACAGAAAAGGGTGAATAATAAGAAAAATGAAATTATATATATATATATATATATATATATATATATATATATATATATATATATATATATATATATATATATATATATATGTATGTATGTATGTATGTATGTATGTATGCCAAAATCTTCCACATTAAGACAATAAAGGACCTGAAATATTTCAGTTAGTGTGCAATGTTATAGCCTAAATGTAATCGAACTGACGATGCTAAAATAAGATTTGTGGAGTGAAAATAGCCAGCATTTTGTGACATTAATAAGATTTAATTGGATTTTATAGTACTGTATGTTAATGCCAACTTAAATGACGATTTAATATCGGTTGAAATGTTGTATATAGCCAAACGGATAGAGTACCCTAAAACATGGCCACTATATAAGAGAACCCTTATGTTTATTATCATATAACAGCACAGCCACTAAAAGTTTATTCACCAATGACATTTACACAACAGCCCCGCCCTCAGAGGAAGGCCTCACTGCGCATGCGCCATAAGAGGCTGCGCTTTCTCCTTCACTCAGCTGCCCTGAGGAACGCTGCAAACTCTGCACACTCCGTTTGAAATTACAGGTAAGAAGTCATTAACTTTACCAAAATGCGTGGATTGGTAAAGTTTTCCCGCTGCACGTTTCTCTGCATTATATTTAGTTGTCGCCAAAGGTCGCCTGACTGAGTGAGAAATGAGTCACATAGAGAGGGGGGTAGGAACATAGGAACGGTGCAGACTCTGTGTCTGGGTTGTGTTCTACTTCAGGCCTGTGTTTGTTTTAATCACTTGTAATAAATGTATAAAAATCACGGCGAGCTGCAAAGTGATTTAACCCAACTTGAAATTTTTTTTTGATTTGGTTCGCATTATAGTCGCATTTATGCGCCCAGGTGATTAGTTTTAACTGATTTACACACTATGTTTGAAACCATGTGTGGTATTTAAAAACAAGTTAAACAGTTTGAGTGCAAACTGCAGTACAGGGGTTACTAGTAAGACGCACCCTGTGGTGAACTTCTGGGTCAAACGTGGTGTCATAAATCTAAAGAAAATCTAGTCACATGGCCTTGGAGAAATATTTTAAATTAGACTTAACCAAACGAAACCTCCCTGGCATTAATTCATTATCGTTAATATTATTTATCTTCTTTTTAATAATACAGATTACTCTTGGAATGATTAAGTTTTATAGTTTTTACATTTTATTAGTAAATTGGTGTTATTCCTCTTTTATGTCGCTATCCAACGTTCTGAATCAGGCAGTTCTTTTTTAGATTAAATCCTCCCCACAAATACTCTGAGAGTTGAAAGTTGTATTTCTGTATTTGGTTGATTTTCCTTGAGATTCACAACTCAATATACTGATTTTAACAGTTTTTTAAAAATTATTTTTATTTCAATGGCTTTAAGACAAAAAAGAAAGTGCTTTAGGTTATGTTGAAGATCCAGTGATGCCCCCATAAAGTTTTTAAAAGAGTGGCCAGATGGGGCCCACTGATATTCATGAAATGGAACAACAAAAACCAAGTTTAAGCATACTGTTATCAGATAAAGATAGTGGGTGGGGTAGCAAGGCAAATGACTGACTTAAAACCTATTTAATCTTAAGGGTGCATTCAAATAGAAATGTCTTGATCGATACTCAACTAAATTTCTTGTTGTATACACTCTGTGTGTAGAAAATGAAGATAAAGTCTAAGTCTAAGTGACGTAATCTTCAAGGTCAATGTACTCCAGTTTTCCATTTGTAGACCCTTGTGTCCTCAATAACTGGTACCGCCATTGTTACAACATAAAAGTGATAAAACGCTGATCCAACCAGTATTCTGTACATATACCTATTTTTGAAACAGAAAAAACTGCTACTGAACAACTGACTGAATGCTAAATATATAAAAAAGAACTGCCACAAATGGTAGGAAAGTTTAACTACTGTCAACATCTTGAATGCGGAAGTCGGGTAGCATCTTTTGCGGCGCCTTTCCGACTCGTAATTCCGACTTTCTGGGGTGTTTCATTTAAAATTTGTGACTTTGAAGTTGGAATCTTTGACTTCCAAAGATGGATGGAATGTGTCAAAGATGCTAATTATTAAAGCATTAAAGCTTGAAGCTCTAACACTTCTTAATGTATAAATGTTTTATACAACAGTATTCACTTCGCTGAAAATATTTTTGAGTTTAATAAAATTCAGACAATAGTTAGAGACCTATGTATGTGATGCAAAAATTGACAAAATCTTTTAAGCACTTAATGTTCTGTTGATTTCTCAAACACCAACTATAGCACACATTTTTTTGTTCTCAGTTTAGATGTTAGGGTCCTTAGAAGTGTAAAACTCTTGGAATGGTCTCAAAGAGAGAAATCCAGCCCCCCAAAGACCAGACGTCATTTAGACGTTATTTTTAGGCTAAATCTGGTCAGTTCGTCACAGTCTTGATTTATTCCAAAATCATTGTTGAAAATTGGGCTGTATTTGGTTGGTCTGATTTTGTCCAACTTTAATCAGATAATAGACGTTGAAAAGATGTTGCAAACCGAGTTTTCAACGCCTTTTCAACAATCTGAAAATTACGACTTTTCACTTTTCAACAAAATGAGGAAGTTGTTTGGACATAAATTGCAATAGAAATGTAGGATTTGTGTTGCTACTAAACCTGATCAGATGCAGAATTGGCTGCATTATTGAAGCCTCTATAATAACAATATAAACTGATTCTAAAATCAGGGTAAACATATGCTTACGCACATCAGCAGAGTGGCTGTTTTCACTATACACAGAATGCAACAGTCAAGCCAGTGGGATCCAAAATGCCACACAAAACATTGTTGCGGTTTAAGCTACATGTTTGAAGAGTAACTTTGCTGTACTTATCCTTATCTCTCTCTCACACACAGACACACATTTCTTTCCACAAGCACATACTACCTTGGTTTTATGTTATCTAGAGATTAGTTTAGTGTTGAGTAACTGCTGTTTTTACACATTTTAAATTGTTTTCGTCTTTTATCTCTCTCAAATTGTGTCTTTTATCAAGGTTCTTTTTAAGCTGAATTTAAACCACTTAATTTTATATTATCTGATGCCTTTTTAGGTGTATTTTCCTAATTTTCTAAACAAAAACTATGAAAATAGAGAGACTGATCACTGAAAATGTATTAAGTTCGAATATCAACCACCATCTTGTGTTTGTGTCACCTTCATATATGCCCTTTTGACCTTTGAGCTCAGTCCGACCTAGTAATGAAACCGAGAGTGAGTGGCATGTTCATGTGAGCATTTCTCCATAGAGTGGAGGCACAATGCAGAAACACTGCATGTATTTTCTAGGGTTTTATTTCAATCCGCTGATCTTGGGGGGAGGACACATGTTGACTGCCCGGTCACGTGTTGCAGTGTCATGTTTACCAGAGCTAAACTTAGAGGCCAGACCAAGCAATGAAGGCTGAAGGGGAGAAAGAGGCAGACATGGACTGTGTGAGGGGAGTGAAAAAGGAGCATCTGTCAGTTCAAATGACAATGACTGACAAGGAGTTCCATGCTGTCAGCAAATATGCAGGTTAGAGTGCCCATTCTAGGGAAGCTAAGGCAGAATCAGGAGCAAGAGAGAATTTGAAAGCTTGCTGACCCCAACCTGCTACATGATAAGACCTGAGCAAAAACCAGACAAAACCCCTTTTGCATGAGCTCAGATGAAGTTATATGGTCAGTTTGGAATCTAATTTAATGTCAAAGACAGTTCAGCATTTCTCTTTTAACATAGCTTTTTTCTAGATGTGGTACATTACCTAAATGTGACAAAAATATATATATATTTCAAAAAATACATGAACATGTATATTATTGAAACAAGGAGGCACTCTTTCCACACGCTTAAGCTATCTGACCAAATTTGTGTTATAAAAAATATTATTGAATTACCGCATGGTTACATAAAAAGGCAATAAATGTGCATGTTTACACCTTCTCATTGTTATCATCTCTTATCTATGATTGGTGACCAGCTGTTCGGATAAAAAAAAATACTTCCCATACGCTCTCTGTATTTATATGTATATATAATTATACATCGCTGCCATTTTGGCTCTACCTCCTATACCATATTTATATATTCTGTTACTTATTTAGTAGGTGATGTACTGTGAGCTGAAGTTGTCAAACTGTGCAGAACGTCTTGCATTTTTCTTCTTCCTGTTGCCTTTCCCTCGTCCTGAGGAGACATGGAAGGAAAGGTGGGGATTGTGGTTCAACAGGAGAGGACTGAAGCAAGCGTGAAAGCAGAAAACAAAGATGTCTGTGTCTCATGTTTGCACAACGCCCCCAAGGGTCACGGTGAGTGGTGGGGGGTGCATGGAAGGGAGAGAGAGGAAAATTATCATCAGGGTCCCTGCATCACTTTACGGTGTGACAGTGTCAGCCTCAGTACCGCTCCTAAGGATTTTCTAGTTTTTATTCTGTTGTATTCCAGAGCTTTGATTGGTCTACACCGGTTCTGTTTGGGATACATTACCTGATGGGCAAAGTCCAGCTGTTTAACTGAAGAGCAGTGAGATTTAACTGTCAGGGTAGCAGGATAGAGGGCAAAATAAAGATGAGGACCAAATTACACATTAACCTCTCCTTCCTGTGAGTGAAGGCAGCATTATAAATGCTCCATCAGAGTCACCAGGTCTTGCGTGCATGCTAACTCAGGGGACCCTGATGATTGTGTGAAGCATTACGGTGGGGTGCAGGGTTGTATAAGGCTGTTAGGTAGCATATAGCTGCTGACTGCAGAAGCAGGCTTACTGCTTATGTTAGCTTTTCTGCACTCGCTTGGTCGTATGTCTTTGCACATCATACATTTTACATTCTGCTCTGATGTGTTGCATAATGAAGGATTTTGTTTGACATGCAGTTTTTGAGTGGCAACAAGTTGGTCTGTGGTTGCAAATGTTCTGCATGTCTGGACTGGAGAGACGGTTTCATTAGCTTAACCACTGCTGGATTACAAGTGGATTGTGGCCAAAGGATCGATTCATGTCTATGAGCTGGAGATGTAGGACACATAGAAAGGTGCTGTGCTGCTGGCCGGACAGTGTGTGATGAATGCTCTGCTCTGCTTTTTGCTTTTTTATATGTGGACAGAAGTAACATTCCCAGTGTTTCAGCATTCAGTTGAAGCATTTTTAATTATATTTTCTAAACCAGTTTCAGTCTCTGTTTAACAGGTCTGTTCAGAAGTGCTGGAGTTTTTGCAGTTTTGCATCTGATGTTGGATTTTCTCTGATTTATGGAATCCTAATAATAAACACAGGCTTAAAAGTTAACATCCACCTCTACTAGTAATTGGTCAAGTTTCTTTTAGCAAGTTTACAACCAGGACACATAATTTGTGTTTCAATCAAGAGTGATCACCTCTTTATGTGATTGGTTTCCTGGCATGGACCAGATACATTTAGGGTCAGACCTTTTTAAGTTTGGAAACTTGATTTTAGTTCAAGTAAACTGTTCATTGTTCCGATAAAACACAGATTTCCAAGTTTTAACCCCCTAAACAGATAGTTTGTGGTGATGTCAAATATTTCCAGGTAACCCTTCTAAATATACATTTCCCTCCACCTTGTGCAATACTCCAGCACCCCTGGCTGTGAAAAACAGTCCCTCAGCCTGATGATAACATTGCCTGCAGCAAGTTTTGAAATTAGGATGCTAGCATCTAAGTAAAAGTGGCTTCACAATGCTTCAATCTTGGTACATAGTTCTTGTATGATTTAAAAGCTTCATCTGCACTGACATTTTATTTCTTTTGATATTCAGGAATTTAGAAAAATGGGCTCCTGTCTTTGTTACACTCTCTTCATCCATGAGGATGAAAAACTGCTGGTATAACAGCAGTGTCCAGTTCATAGCAGGCGTAAAGCTTTCATGCTTATTGTATTCTTGGATCTAATAAATACACAGCAGTTTCCTGTCATCAGAGATTGGGTATTTTTCAGGCCATGGCTGTGTGGTAACATGTCCAAATAATTAACTGGCCCCAAAGTTTTTTATCTCAGATCTTTACTTAGATTGCTGATCAATCCAGTCAAGTGCTGTGGATCTGACAAAATCTGTCATCTTTAGTGAATCATGATAAGTTATAAGAGGTTAATTAACCAAAAATTACTAGTTAAGCTTCTTGCAACCTTCTGCAACACTTCTAAATGTGCATGTGATGATGTTGATGATAGGACAACCAATAAAGATCCACAATTTTGGAAAGCTAAAGAATCACTCATGGCCATCACGAGTGTTTGCAAACCAATAATGTCTTTATTGACTAATACAGCACTATGAAAAATAAACTAATTGCTCTTATAATTTGCTCAGAGGAACCAGTTTATGTCAGGATTAGTAATATAATAATAATAATAATCATAAAAGCTGGAATTTCCTCATTGTTTCCTATTTTTTTCAATCCCATCCATTTAGGATATTTTTATATTATGGTTTCTGTCCTCCTGCCTACCTCCCACCATCTTTTTTTTTCTTAGAAAATGTTATAGAGCAACATCGGTTAGATTTTTAATAAGTGAATAGCATTGAGAGATTTCTGCTTTGAACTTCAGGTAAATGCATGATTTTTGAGTAAAAAAAAAAAAAAAAGTAAAAAAAAAAAAAAATCTAGATTGCTTTTTAGATATTGGAGAAAAGTTAAGCTCCTCAGAAGGAAAACTGTAAGGTTTTGGGTTACTCAAGACTTCTCAAACGGATAACCTGGAGCTGAAAGCTGGCTTGGGGATCCTGTCTGGGGGAAAAAATCACCTTGAACTTAAACTTCAGATGGAAAACTGAAAATATGGATGATTTGGTTTTAGGAAAAAATAGCAATTACTTTCATGCATCTTTCAGAAAATTAAAGCTGCATTTGTCTTTACTGATAGTTAATAAAACAATGTGGACTGATGTGTCTCCTCAGGAACAATGGCTGTTCCACCTTCATACTCAGACTTGGGAAAATCTGCCAAGGACATCTTTGGCAAGGGATTTGGTGAGTTATCCCCTCTCAGCTGTTCCACACCTGCACTGTTTTTATTTATTTGTACTAATGCTGCCTAATTTGGGCTATTTGAACCAAAGCTGTGTTAATGCAGGAGTTGTTTAAAAAACATTTCTGCATATTTCAGATGTTTATTTGTTCTGCTACACTGGCAGAAACAGGGAGTTATTTCTCCAGCTTGACTTTTTTTAATTTCCTGCTTTTCTTTCTCCTCAGGATATGGAGTTCTGAAGCTCGATGTCAAGACCAAGTCTCAGAGTGGTGTTGTAAGTAGTTTTGTCTTTTAGGGATGTCTAATGTTAAGATTAAACTTTAGACGTCTTTGTCAAAGAGATGCAGTGTAAACCTCATTTACAGAAATGTCTCCTTTCTTTAGTCTATACATTTCAAATGTAAGAAATATCATAAAACATCATAGTATTTTTGTCCTAGAAATACTTTTTCTGTGTATTTTTTTTATCTTATATGCTATTCATTTAAAACCACACTGTACCCTTTTAGAATATACTCATCAGGTCACATAACTTTAAACCTAAACTTGTTTTGATAATAATAATGATAATAATAAATGAACTTCAGTAGGAAGCAGTGTGGGGTTAAGGGTCTTGCTCAGAGAGCCATAGTGGCAGTCTTTGGGAGTGGGACTTGAGCTCAGAACCTCAGGATTCCAAGCCTTATGTCCTAACCACTAGGCCACCACTCCAGTGACTACTTCAATGTCGCTCATAAACTGTCATTCTCCCTAACTTTCTCTATTTTTCTTCCTTGTTTTCTGCTTCTTCTTTGGACTCTTCTGTTAGATGGTAAGACAGAGAAGGTCTGTGTGTCTCCATGTTTGTGATGATTATTAGCAGGTGTAGTGTAGATTGGGCCAGTAATGTGCACATGCTTCCTTCCAGCTGTTTCCTTTGCAGTAGTTTCTGGTCTGAGTGAAACAACTGCAGCATTAGCTGGCAGCGCTCATCCTTAAACCCATACCAGCAGCTTCTCCCTCTCAGTTCAGCCTTCAGTTTCCCTCATTAGTTTGATTCTCCAACTTTCAGTTCTCCTTTTACATACCTGGCCTTGTATCCTTGGCAGTGGTTTCCCTCTGCTGCTTCTTTTCTCGTTTGCTTCATCACCTCTCTGCATCCTGACCTGTACCTCCCCCTCACTACAGCATCCCTCTTTGTCCCTGCAGGAGTTTTCCACCTCAGGCTCCAACAACACAGACACAGGGAAGTCAGGAGGCCACCTGGAGACAAAGTATAAGATGTGTGATCTGGGTCTCACTTTCAACCAGAAATGGACCACAGACAACACTTTGACCACGGAAATCACCATGGAGGACCAGGTTGAGCTTAAAGTTTCTACAGAAAGTCATTCTACTTGAAATGAAAAAGGAAAATAGCTAACTGGTTGTCCCTTTTGTGTCTTTAGCTGGCTAAAGGGCTAAAGCTTGGATTGGACACATCTTTTGTGCCAAACACTGGGTAAAAAGAACACCGTTTCTATGCTATAACTACTGAGTTAAATTATCTTTCCATTTAAATTTTCCTGATGTTTAACTGTATAGCAAGAAGAGTGCCAAACTAAAGACCGGATACAAGCGGGACTTCATGAACCTGGGCTGTGACCTGGACTTCGACATGGCTGGTCCCACCGTCCATGCGGCCGCTGTGCTGGGCTTCGAAGGCTGGCTGGTGGGCTACCAGTTGGCCTTTGACACTGCCAAATCTAAATTGGCTAAAAACAACTTCGCCTTTGGATACAAGGCCGGTGACTTCCAGCTGCACACCCACGTGTGAGTCTTTCCTCTCTGTGAAAATGGTCAACATATAAAATGTGTTTGAATTGTAGCAACCTTAAAGGGTCATAGAATGCAAAACTGAGTTTACATTGTCATAGATGAATAACGGTAGTTCAGTCGGTGAAATGAACGTACAATAAAATTCAAACCCCATCGACACCTCCTTTCTCTGCAAATCTCACAATTCTATACTTCCACCATAATCACCATCAATTCGGGGATGGTACCTTATTTGGTTCAGGTGTCCAGGCTACTATCACCGGGTCGGGTTCGGTCGCTCCGTCCCCGTCCCCCACTGGCTCCCTGCCACCGTCTGCCGGGGTTCCCGGACCAGCCCTGTAGTTGACGGCTTGGTTCAACAATTTGATGTTTCAGTGAGTGAGTGCATGTTGCTACAATGCGTATTTGCTCAGCAGCTTCTCTCAGTGTAAACCAACCAATCAGCGCACAGCTAAATATTAATGAGCATAACATAAAAGGAAGAAAACCTGTCGTTTTATTCTAGGGCTTTTAACCAGGCTTGCCATATTTCTCATAGCATAGCAAATATGCCACTTTCAGCCCAACCAATGTTACACTCCCAATTAGGAGACCAGCACCAAATACCCTAAATAATCATTCTATGACCCCTTTAACATTTTTATTCCTAAATGTTTTATTTAGTTTAATTATGAAAGTTTTCTATGGGATTCAAAACTAGACCGAATCAGATTTGTGTGGGAACTTTTCTCACCCTCTCTGCTGAAGTCTCGCTCAGACTGAAAGCTTCCATCACGGCATCAAAAGGGTGTCCTTTTAGGCACAGAAACATAAACTTACTGCCACAACATCTACACTTCTAAACTACTATTGGAGTTTTACAAACTAGAGGAACGGTCTCACATTTTTACAGATTTATCACTGGTTAGGAATAAATATTGCGCTTTAGATGGAACCTTGTGATCATTGTGCAGCTTATTTTTAAGCTGCTCTCTAATATTTATTCTAATTCAATATGCCAATTGTATTCACAGTCCAAATAAAGACTGAGACGTGTCCTGATTGGGCATTTAGTTGGAAATTCATCTGAGACGCGATAATAGGCTTTCCAGCATTTTAATGCTTAGTGGCTTTCAAGGCACTAAAAACACCACCTGGTGTTGATTTAGCAGCATTATGCTTTTAATTAACACCAGCAGACACTTTATAATCATTGCCATGTGTTTGAAAAGTGTAGCATTATTCATTAGGATAATTCATTAGAATTTAAAATTCAAAATTTATGTGGACAGTTTGACTTAACCTTTTAACTTATGGTTAGAAGGTGTTAAAAATGATTGCTGTTAACATCAGAGGACAGACTGGTGTTTAATGAGGCTCCACCAGTTATTTAATTTATAAACTATATTTTAATGCCAGGTTGCACCATTTAACATCACATTTATTTCATGTGAAGCTGGTCTTCTGATGCATCTGATAGACAACATTTATTCTTATTTTTTTATCTTTATTTTATCTTTTTTATCTTTATTATATTGTTTTATTCTTATTTTTTATCTTTTATCTTTATTATATTGTATAGTTGGATGTATGTATATATCATGTAAAACTGTAACTAGAGCGTGTAACAAAAGTAATTTCCCTCTGGGATTATTAAAGTATTTCTGATTCTGATGTGGAGCTAACAAGCTTAATAATCCAAACTTTTTTTTTTTATACCTAAAACACACAGTTGCAGCTTCTCCTTCCTTAAAAAGCTGGTATGGATCACAAGAGGCTGTGTTTTTTTTTTCTTTACTTGAATAGAATATAATAGAAAACAATAGAAATAACCCTGTGAATTAAGGGCATATTTGCAACACTGCAACAAGTGTGTAACTGAGTGGGGTTATTTGAGGAAATTTGCAAAATAGTTTAAATATTCTATGTTATTACTATGAATAAAGGATTTAATAGATCATTTAAAATCTTTTTGACATTAAATAAAAACATTAGATGCCAAAAAAAAAAAATGTATTAAAAATTTGTGAATTATAATATAATAATGATGAAACCATTTGAAATTCTCGGAAGTCTCCCTTCACACAACTCTATTAAAGTTTGTTCTTTAAAGAAATATATATAAGCTACTTCCATAGCAGTGTCTTGTTCTCGTGTACATTTCTGTGGAATTTTTGTGTTTGCCCCTATAAATACACACAAAAAACACAATGACGTTAGAATCCTACCCTGGTGCCTGTAGTGCAAACCTTTAGCGTGTCAGTTCTAAGTATGCCTTTTCATCTTCTTTTTCTTAGTAATGATGGCACAGAGTTTGGGGGCTCCATTTACCAGAAGGTGAACAGCAACCTGGAGACAGCAGTGAACCTTGCATGGACAGCAGGAAGCAACAACACACGCTTTGGAATCGGAGCCAAATACAAGCTGGATAAGGATGCCTCCCTGTCTGTAAGAAAGAGACATATGAAATGAATTTAAAGTTAAAATCCCTCTTTAGAAAGATATATTTAAAAATCACTGCTGCTGCTCCCATCATAAAATCTTTATCTTAAGTACCCTCTAAAATTTGATGTTTTATTTATTTGTTTATGGACTTTCAATTAGTCATCACAGAGCTCAAGACATTTCCTAACTCCAAACCAGTCATTAGAGAGCCTGTTGCAGGACATGCTGTAGCATCTCTAGGTGTTTCCTAAGCATCTGAGGGTGAACCTGGTGACAGTAGATAGTTGGCAGTTGTCTTTCCTCCACTTGTTAACCTCATTTCTTTACCACCCTTAAAGGTAACTGCAGTCTTCCTTCTGAGCGCATTAGACAGCTCTTCAGATCTTAAAAGGTTTCAGTCTCACTTCTGTAGTCAGGAAGAAACCAAACCAAATGTCTGAGGTTTGCACAGTGCAAACATCCTTTAAAAAGAGCAGTTATGCTAAGCTAATGTGCATCACATTTGAAACATCTCTGTAGTCATTTTAATAAGGAATACATACAAACTGTGATACAGATTTTATAGAATTTCCCTTCCCTTTTTTCCTTATCAAAGATAATGAGTTTTTATTAGTTATTCACAAAATATTTCATGATTAACATTTCTGAGTTTTTGAGCAGTTTTGTCCCAAATGAAAGCAAATTCATGTCTTCTCAGTATTTTGGCCAAATTCTGCACTCTTAAAATGATCTAGAAATAATTAAAAACTTCTTAAAATAAATGCAGTTACCCTTAATTTGAGTAGGTGAACACGATAATCTGCCAATGGAATGAATATTCTTACTATTAAAATAAGATAACTAGATAATATGCATTTGAAATAAGACAATGCAATTGTTTTTTTTTTCTTATTCTAAGTGTAAATTATGTTGTTCCATTGGCAAAGGGTCTCACCTCTGCAATTCAAGAAAACATGCACTTATTTTAAGAAAAAAAAAGACTTATTTAGGTTTCAGTATTTTGCAGTGTGTTGTACGAAATAACATAATTCATTGAAAGCTGCACCTTTTCATTATGATTCATTTATAATGCCTTAAATATAGATTTTTACTGGTGTTTTTTCTCCTCACAGGCAAAGGTCAGCAATGCCTGCCTTGTTGGAGTTGGATACACGCAAACCCTCAGGCCAGGTTCGCAATCATACATAAAAAAACTAATTTTACAGCAGAAACAATTAGAATTGTAGACCTGCAGTTAATTGAAGTCCACATTTTATAATTCTCTCTCCCGGCAGGAGTGAAACTCACTCTCTCTGCGCTGATCGATGGGAAGAGCGTGAACAGCGGTGGACACAAAGTCGGCATGGGATTCGAGCTGGAGGCGTAAAGACCTGCCAGAAAATGGAGAGGAAAAAAACAAAATACACAGCCCTCAATGTGACGAAACTGCAGTGACCCACTAAGCAACATGTGAATACATCCTCTCAGTCCAACACGCACACATTCTTTGGCCTTAACCTTCAAACCCAAGTAGCCTCCAAGACCTCCAGTACTGTAACTGTCACCCAATCATAACTTATTTTTACATTTTAAAATATGTTCAACTTTAAATCTAAACCTAAGAGCATACAGCACAAACACAGTTTTAACAGATTAAAGTGCACTTTTAACCAGAGCAAGTTCTGAGGCGCAGTTTTTAATTTAACTGTCTGTTTTAGTTCAGTTATGCTCAGTTGTATCATGTTAGGATATTTATAGGCTGCTTGTTTTGGAGTGTTTTGGTTTTTTTGCATGATATCCAGGCTATTGATAAAGTGTGTGAAAATCAATTGCAATATAGATCGGAGAGAGTTTGGTGGGAAAAAAAAAATGAAATATAGTTTTGTTTTTTCCAGGCCCCATTTGGTTTAAATAGGGGTTGAATGCAGTTTGAATCTCAGTGTCAACATCATGTTTCAGCCTTGGTCACGTTTCACAACTATGCTGTGGAAATATAAGAACTATTGTCTACTCTTTGGACCTCTAACTAATTTTATTGAATAAATGAAATAAAGACTGTCAAACAACACCAGCCTGTTGGTTTCTGTTACATTTTTATCGTTGAGATCACTTCAGTCAGATGAAAACAACCAGTTAAAAAAGGTAAACGGGGACGTGCAGCTGGCGTTAGTCCTCGACGTGCCCGACCCAGGTTTGAATCCGACCTGTGGTCCTTTACTGGATGTCTCTCCCCCTTTCCTGTCAGCCTTCTTTTGGAAAAAAAACTACCCACTAGTCCTGTAAAAACTTAAAAAGGAGTAAACAGTACAGATGAAGGCATCTGAGTAACACCTCCGACCGCAGAAGGAAGCACAGTTGTTGGGATCACAGGTACCATGGGGATTTCTGCCGGTCATAAACCAGGGTGGCCACACCACCTGTGTCGTTATCCATAGGGCAAAGTTATACAGTTTTTATAGAAAGGATGAAAACAGTTACTCTTAAACTAAGAACTTCAAACTAAGGCTAGATTAAAGGTAGATTAAGCTGGATCTAAATTTGAAATAAAAGCCTCTCATTCTATTTTCATAAGATTCAGATGGAAAATTCCTAAGCTTGCCACTTGTTTTTTTTTAAATCTTTTTGTAAGATACAAGCTTAAAATGTCAAGCTACAGATTTAGAGTTCTGGATGCAGATAACAGCTGACATGTTAACCATCTCCAAACCATCAAGGTTATGAAATCTGTCTGGGTTCTCATTTTGGGAATATTGGAATTTAAAACAAAAAACAACCAACATTTGGAGATGTATATATATTTTTCCTTATTTAAATGTTATTATTTTGGCCCTGAAAACGTTCATATGATCATCTCCGCCACCTTTCTAGAATCATTCCCTGTTTGAAGGGGAAAAAAAAAAGAAACAACAATAATTCAAAGGTATATTTGGGATGAGCTGATAATATTCAGACAGATTTCCCAGAACGTGGCATTAATCTTGTAAGAATGTCCCAAAGTCTGGTGCAAAGAAACTGCTTTAAAAAGTCATGAAATAAAAAAGTATTCAGTTAAATCTATCTGATGATGTGAGCCAGATAAGAAATGATAATAAAAGCCAAAGATGACTGAAATAAAGAAAACAGTGAAATATGATCTGTTTTTGATTTAAAAGCGAAAAAGAGGATGCCAAATAAAAGTAAAATTTGAAAGTCAGTTAAATAACAGCCAATAATCTATTAAACCTAAGTATAAAAGAAGTATATTATTTCTCTGACAGTTGCGCTGGTTCAAAGAGGTTTTCAGGGCTAACAGTATGTTGGGCCTAATATTCTTTAATGTTTTCCACTATATATTATTTTGTGGATTACAATTCATTTACTAAAAAGAAATTATCACAAGACACAATATAGGATGGACTGAATTTATTTCAGTATACATAAGATAGAAAAATCCTGCATTGTTGTCAAAACACATAAACCCAAATCATCTTAACTCTTTGTAAAACAGAGCAAAAAAAAAATATATATTTTTTTCTTTTGTGGTTAAGTGTTTTAAGATCTCAAACCCTGTGGTAAAAGTTTAGTTAAAAAAAAGAATCTATAAGGTCAGTCCCAGTAAAATAATTATTTTACAAAATGTAAAAAAATACTGAGTTCTTCTTAACTTCAGTATTTCTTAATAATCCCCATAAGCAACCAGATAGAAAACTTAAAAGGAAAAATATGTACCTGAAAGTTAAAAGTCTAATTGGTCCCTGAGCAAGACCCTTAATCCCCCACTGCTCCCCGGGCACTGCACAATGGCAGCCCACTGCTCCCCAAGGGGATGGGTTAAATGCAGAGATAGATTTCTCCAATGTGAGATCAATAATGTTCAATTTATTTATTTATTTAATTCACCAAATCAGACAACTGACTGTACATACACCTGCTTGTACAATTGCCCTCCACACGGGGGCAGCACAGGGACATTTAAGCAATATCATTTTAGGCGAGGTCACTGGAGAAATTCTGATCTCCTCGCAGCCACGTCCATTCCTTCAGCATCTAGGACAAAAAACAAGGCTTGCATAACTCACAGCAGTATAATAAACCAGTACTTTCAGTATGAAACCACACACACCTCCATGCTGCTCTCTGATTCCTGGATAGTTTCCTGCAGTAAACTCTGGAGGCGACTCTCAAATGTCCTGCTCTCCTCAACTAGAGACTCATCCCTGCAGAGACATCAACCATGATTCATACGAATGTTATTGATGGTGTTAACATCGTTATCACATCGTCTGTGATGCTGTATTCCCAGAAAACTCAAATGCATGCATGCATAATATTAAAGAGCAGATAGAGGGAAAAAAAGGGGGCGTCCAATAAAAATCTTTACAGTTTACTAAATAATTCTATAATTAGGTGATATTTTTGGGCCTCGTAGTGGATATGAATGTTTATTAAAGTTTCATAATGTTACTGAGTTGAATGTTTGTGTTTAGGCATACTCACAGTTGCTGTACGCTGTGTCTGGGGGTCATCAGAGGAGGCACTGATGAAGGCGTTCGGAGTCCATCGGGACTTCCACTCACGGGGCTTCGAACTTTGCTCTGCATTAAAATAAAATGATTCTGTTTCACACATCAGCTGCTAACTGGCTCTGCCTGCTAAATGTCAACCTCTTGTGTTTTCAAGCTTCTCTTCTGTGTCAAACTGATCGGGTGAGAGAGTTCATGCATCCTCACACAGGCGATTTTCAGCAGGTTCCACAGCTCCCTTTGTCTTCTCTCCTGTAGACCCATCAGGACCTGCTCACTCTCTGCCAACTTCTGGACCACTTCTTCCACCTTCGGCAGCAGCTCCATCACACGGTGGCGGCACATTGCAGTCTTACTGTAGCATGCACAAAAAAAAAACTATATTTTCAGCCCCACTCCACACAGATTAAGACCCAAATGAAATGTTAAACACTAGCTGGGAACCGGTGGCCTTGGGTCTGGTGTAGTGAAGTGTTCTGGCAGCACATTTATGGTGTATGTAATTTACACATATCTTGGTTTGGACATAGCACTATGCATATGTCTAAAGCTCAAAGAGGTGTTTTAGTAATTGTTTAGTTTTCTAGCTTCCATATTTATCTACTTTGTATGTGCTTGTTAAGCTATCCCATCAAACTAGGTTCTAGATTTAGCTGCTTCCAGATGGTTAACTGGACCTAACTGCTTTTTTTTCACAGAGTCTGCTATTGATAGCCTCCTTTCTGAGCTACAATGCAAAAAATAATGTCTTACATTAAGTGTATTTACCCTTAGTTTGAGTAGGAAAATAAGATTATCTGCCAATAGAATGAGGATCTTACTCATAAATTAGATAATTAGATAATATGCACTTGAAATTAGACCATGCAAATATTTTTTATTTTAAATGAAAATTGTCTTGTTTAATTGGCAAAGTGTCTCGCTTACCTCCTCAATTCAAGAACAAATGCGTAAAATTAAAAAGTAAAATTTTTTTTTATTCCATCATGATTTCGTGTCGCTTCTCTGAACTTATTTTGATGGGGTTGTTAGCAAGTTGGAGGGATTGATGAAAAAACGAAATGCTCTCGAGTTAAATTACAAGAATCCTTATGAACGGATGCATCAAGGTCATATTTTCCTTTTTGACATATACGTTTCTGAAAATTTAGGAAGAGTTTTCAGATGTTATTTCAAGGGAAATGCACAAGCACAGATGTAAATGTACAAAAATGTAATGTACATATCAGATGTAAATGTGTACGAGTACCTGAGGATTGTGTAGAAATCCCTGATTTTCTTTTCATAGAACTGAACTGCCTGAACCACCAGGCGTGCCGCCTCCATGCCGTCTCCTGGCATCCTCTGGTCTGAGGAAGGAAAACCAGAGAGTTGTTTGTTTCCACATGCAGAAGCCGAGACAAGTGCTGATGCTTGAAAGAAAAGAAAAAAAAAAGTACAAACCTCTGGGTTTTTCTCTGAGTTTGCGGAACAACTCCATGGCTTTTCCTTCCCTGAGGATAAAAAAAAAAGAAGTGAGCCGTGTTTCAGCTTAAAGAGAAGTTCTTGATTTTATTTTCAGACTCACAGCGTGTCCAAAGTCTCTCCGCTCCGCTGCCTCTGCACATCCACGATGTCTGGCTGCAGCTTCATCATCTCGTCTTCAAGTTCGGTCACCTGGGCCTTCAAAAACAAAAGTTATAATCCTTTAAAGGAAGCAAAAACCCCTTAAAGGCATCTTATAATACTCAGCGTACCTGACTACAGCTGATGGCAGTTTGCTCCATTTCCCTCCAAACACTCAGAAGTTTATCAGAAGCTTTTAGATATAAAGAGGTACATTTAGTATTAGATCGATTAGCTATTCCTGAGGTGAAAGCTGCAGACATCTCTTTATTCAGTTAACATGTTTGGTGGATAAAACACTTGCTATCTCAGAGCATCATGTACCAATCCCTGTGGCTGTCTGTTCCTGGTACTTGTCCATGTCTATGTGAAGGCTTGTGTTGAAGAAATCCAGCTTGGCTGTCAGTCTCTGGTGCATTGAAACCATCTCAATCTTCTGTTTGGACAAAGTGGAGTTGTGTCTCAGGAGGCTCATGCTAAAAGGAGTAAGAAAGAACATTTTCATAAATGTGCAAATGTCTTAAGTGATTCCAGCTTTAAAAAACTCTGAAACACTTGTGAGTTCTAAAAATTAGGAGTGGTTTTCAACATGTGTGGATAAACGGTGTAGTATGTCCTACATGGCAGCTTTCTGGCCTTGCTGCAGCCGTTGCCAGTCTTCCTTCAGAGAGCGAATGGTGTGCCACACCTGGCCACAGGTCCTCCTCAGCTGGCTGTACTGAAGAAGACACTTGGGATCTTTTTCTTTGAGACAGAAAAAAACACAATAAGATGAGGCGATGATGTTTGGGGACTTATCAGCAAACTGAAAAATGGCTGTTTCTCTAAATCCATTTATTTAAAGAGGAGAGACTGTGTTCTTACGGATGTAGCGGACATTTTCAGGGAGGATTCGAGGACTAAACTGGGGTTCATAAGTGCAAGAGGAGCAATCGAACAGAAACACAAGAGGATAGTCTGTCCGTCGTCCATCTACCTCCTAAAGGAAAATGAAATAACAAATCAAAGTTTGTAGATTGTATCAAACTTACAGCAGTGATGTAAAAAAATATTACCATGTAATCTACAGCGCACTGGGAGGCCAGTGCATTTGCTTCTAAAACCAGTCCTGCTTCCAGCAGCAGCTCCTGATTGGCTGCAGGAATGTTGGTGTCTTTTTCAATTCTCAGCTGCAGGCTGGCCACAGTCTCATCATCAGAAATGGCATATATCAGGATTTTGGCAGACATCATGTTGAGGACATGAACCAGCTGGAGAAGCAGGGTAAAATGAGGTCAGCAATGCCTGATGTGGACAGAGTGAAAAAGTGGAAATGGCTCACCTTGAGCTTGAGTATCATCTCCAGCTGGAGGAAGCAGTCGCTGGGGATAGCGTTGGGGTCTTTGCCTCGCTCCTTCGGCGACCACTTTAACATCAGCTGGAGCCACTTCTCCAGCCTCTCTGTTAACAGACTGCAAGCAACAGTTCCCACACGAAAGAAAGTTAAAGAGGAAACACGGCATTATTTTTCATGTTTTAAGTCAGTGAGGGTTACCAAAACTATCTTCATTTGCCAAACATCAGAATGAGTTTTTTTTAATAAAGATTTTCAAAAATTTTGTCAGATTTGTCAAATTTTGTTAACATTCAGATGTGTGAGCTGTTGTGCGGACTTGATTTTGATGCTATACTGTGTTTAGGGTCTTGTTGGGTCCAGTCGACAAATTTAAGGTGTGGTAAGGGTTTGGGTCAGGGTAAGACCATGGAAATAAATGGAAGTCAGTGCAAAGTCAATCACAAAAAAAAAAAAAAAAAATCACTAAATACTGTAAAGATACAGGCTGAAGCAAAAAGGAGTCTCATCCTCTGGACCAGTGTTTCCAAACCTTTTTTGACTTGTGTACCCCTTTGGCTATTTTGAGTACCCCTTCAGTCAAAATTATTGATGATTGTCCAAAAGTAGAACGTACAACAACTGCTTGTAAAATAACAACTATGTTACCTAATCTTTTATTTCAAGCATTTAATTCTTAAGCATTTTATCTAAAAAAAAAAAAAAAAAAAAAAAAACACCAAAACAAAACAAACAAAAAGACCAATATGAATATGTTGCCTGAAAGTTAGTAAGGAATTCAAATAAATAAATAAAAAATAAAATCCTATTATAAACCTGTATTTATAAAACTTGAGATCTTTTGAGTAACTCCCATATAATCACATTTTAAACTTGATCAATTGGGAACAAAATACAGAACAATAATTATAATTAGGTGTTTTGATGAAAACAAAGTAAAACTAATTAAGTCACCCTGAGCTGCTTTGATGATCTCCGATAGATCTGTGTAAAGAATTACTAATCCAGGTTGTTTTTAACTTCCAGTTTGTTCCTCATCTTGGTTTGGTTGTGTTTCACAGCTGAACTCAAACATATAACAAAAACTTACTTTTTGGTTAATAAAAGCTGGTTTCATTTTTTTTATTGGGTACTCACAAAGCAAAACAGATTCCAGCCCTATTTTATTGTACTACCTAAGAAATAAAATATTTTCATGTAGCCCTTGCAATGCACTCGTCGACCACTAGGGGTACAAGTACACCGGGTTGGGAATCACTGATCTAGGTCACCGATGGAGGAAAAAGCCATTAATCCAACAGAAACTTGAAAATTAAAGTGTTAAATAAAACCATAGCTAAATGAAAGAGTTTGGACATAATCACCACAATTATATTTATAGGATAAGAGAGAAAGCAGCACACCTGCAGTTGTGCATGGTCAGGATGAACATCATAGAACATAAACTTGTGCCATAAACTTGTGCACTGTATGGGTGTATTTTGCATATTTCTCAGGTATGTGACAATTTGACTGTATTATAAGGTTAGCCATGTTAAATGACGCACAGGTCTTATAATAATACTTATAACAAAATTATTGTATGCTGTGTGACTCTAATGAAAAAAAAATATATATAGAAAAGCAATTAAAAACAGGGTTTGCCATGTTTGCTTAGAGAAATGAGCCCCAATCCAGCAAGCAATTGTGTTAAGCTTGTGGTAGGATACCCTAAAAAATAACTCAAGTCATGAAATTTAAAAGCAAATTCAGATACAGCTAAGCAAAATTAGCTAAACTAACCACAAAAAAATAAAGAAAGAAATAAGTAAAGTACACTATCTCAAGGCAAGGCAGGTTTATTTACATTACATCTATCAGTATCAAGACAGCTTCAGTTGTTCTACATAATATAATCAATTTACTGAGCTTAGTGAGTTAAAAAAGGTCATGTGTCTTTTTCAAGTGTATATATATATATATATATATACACATATAGATAGATATACATAATGAATTATTTTTTACATGTATTTTGTGTTTTCTTCATTTAAAATCACCTGTTGAGGTTGTTTGGCTGAGGTAAATGTTTGCTGAAACGAAGATCCCCGTTCAGGTCCTCGTAGACAACAATGTGGTCGTCGTGCTTCATCCTGACTTTGTTGTGCCTGGAAAGATGGAGTTGCTTTAAAACTTAATGTTGAGTTTATCACCTTTGTGTCTTTAGGAGAAAGGGATTAGTGTTAAATTCCATTTCAGAAAAAAAAAACAAAACCCAAGAACTGAATTCCTGCCAGTGTTAGGGCATATTTTTCCATCTCGTGGAGCAATATCCCCCCATGAGCATCAGATCTTTTATCACAACGGTGAAAAAACAAGAGGCGCTGATGCTGGCACAACCCACATATCCTGCAATTCACTGGCAACTCTTGTTTTTCTTACATTCAGTCTAGAAATCATACAATAACATTTATCTTAAATACCGTTAATTATCGCCTAGTATAAGAAAATATTATCCTTGAACTTGTTACGTTATCACTGCTGCTAGAAGCTTGAAAAAATGGGGTTAAGGAAGAGAAAAGACACAAGTTTGCATCACTGTTCCATATTTTGACCCAAACAAGAGGTCAACATAAATGTAAAAAAAGGCAAACAAAGATGACATGATTAGTCTTGGATAAAGTTGATGGATTTTATTAGCCTCGTGAGACCATCCTGATCTCGCAAGCTTTCAAGATTTCACTCGCTAATCAGTCTGGAGACTCTCTGTTAAAGAAAATTTGGAGCCGTTCACCAAACGAACGTCCAATCAGCGTTGGCTTTGAGGCGGGTTGAGGTGTGACGCAACGAGAAGTGCAACAGTTCTGTCTAAAGAACATGGCGGCTTCAGCCGATGAAACTAGCGTTAGCGTAGCTATCGAGCAAGTTTTATCAAAATTACAGAGTATCTCTTAACTGAAAGAAGAGCAAAACACTGCTCTGGAGGCTTTTCTCAGAGGAAAAGATGTTTTTGCTCTTCTCCCGACTGGTTTCGGCAAGAGTAGCCTGGCTGTTAGTACGTCATATGCTTCTTTGATCTGATTGGTTTATTTGGCCCGTCTATCACCAACATAGGCCAATCAGCTAACCAGTATTTTCGCCGCTTCCCAAACTTACTTAAACCGAAGGTTTCCAGATGGATATGCAGAGCAAATCCATCTGGCGGAGTCAGGTTAGGATTTTATTGATCCCAGCTTTGGATATGTAAACATTGGAGCAAAAGAAAAGTGTATACAACCCAGTTTTTGTGCTTAAGAAAATAGAAAACCAGGAGAAAATCTCCCTTTGCACCTTTAATGTGAACTATAAGCTGTAAAACTTCATTAAAAAAAACATATTTCACAGAAAACATAGAAACCAAAACATTGCTGTTTATTTCTTGAGAGAGCACACCTCTCTTATAAGAAAGGATGTTGCGGCTGTGTTCAGAGTTCACTACTGTATTCAGACTTGTGTTAAATGGATACCATTAAACCCCTGCCATCATTTAAAGAGCTTCTGATTAACATCATAAAACGTTCAGCTGCTCTAATAGGTTTTTGCTGACATTTTCTTTGTTGTATTCCGCACCAAAAGCTTGATACTTTAAAAATGTGTCAGGAGAGGAGTACAAAAGAATATCCAATATTATTAGATACATCATGGAAGAGTATAAGTTTAACTAAGGAAATATTATCATGGTCAAAGGTGACAGATCTTGCTTTAGAGTAGGGTTGAAACAATGAATCTGATTAATCGTGATTAATCAATTATCTAAATAATTTTCAACTAATTTGGCAATTGATTAATCACTAAATGGAGAGTAGAGACCTTAACCCCAAACCTTAACTTATACCAAGATTGTAGCAAAATCTATTAATATGCTCTATCCTGAACTCCTCAAAGGGAAAGGTTTTAGTTTCACCTGGTTTAATTTCATGAAAAGTACTTTTTAACGTACTTTTTTCTATCAGATTATTAATCGATTACTCGAAAAAATAATCGACTGATTAATCGATTTGTTTATTGTTTATTTATTTGGATCCCCATTAGCTGTCAGTAATTTGACAGCTATTCTTCCTGGGGTCCCTTTAAAATTACAGATACACAAAACATATTAAATGATCACATAATAATAATAATTATTTGAAAAATAATGGTTAATTGCAGCCCTACTTTGGAGAGTAAAAAATAGTGTCTATCAATACCAAAAACAACATAAAGGAGATTTAAAATGTGAACCTACCAAGGAACAGGCTGCCAAGTCGGTAAGAACGGTCGAAACCCAGTGATGCACTCAAACACCAATGTGCCAAAGCTCCAGTAATCCACTGAAACTGTGTACTTTTGCCTCTCAATAAGCTCTGGGGCCTGGAAGAAGAACAAGGAAGAGTAGATTTAGAGCTCAGAATGTAAAGAAGGAGAAAGTTAAAAGAAGTCCAGTGAGATCATTGGTAAGACTAACCAAGTATTGTAATGTTCCCACAAACGATGTGCAGAGGCTGCTCTGGTCCAACTCCTTAGCGTAGCCGAGATCTATGATTTTATGGATGAGCTGTAATAATGAAATGAAATAAAAAGTGAAATTATCAAAGGATTCATTTTGTTCTGCAAATGAAATACAACAATTAAAATGGGGACATTTTATGAAAGAAGTAACAGTCAGATTGTATTTATACCATTCCATTTATAAGCTGGAATAAAAAACATCAGTCCAGATATTCTTTCTTTACTTGATATTACATTTTATTAGCAAAAGAACTGAAAGATTGTCATCTTTTAGCTGAAGGTTGGCAATTTTAGCTTACAGTTAAAATTAGTCTGTGCAAAGGTTGTATCACCATTACAATGTTGAATAATCAACACATGCAAAATAGCAGTCAGCCACCATCTTTGGATTTTTACCCTCTGAATAAATTAAACCAGATAACTAAGCTCATTCTGTTCAGATATAAGTGTGCATATCTTTTATGGTTTGAATGGGTCCACCCTTGACTGGCGCCTTTGCTGTTTTCCCTGTAGTGATAACTGCTGTTACTGTTTTCTCAGCTTGTGCATTAGAAACACAATCAAACCCTCTATGGGTGCCTATAAGAACATTAACAAAAATATAGAAATATTCAAGCTTAAATTAATTGGTTGGTTGGTTGGTTGGTTGGATGGATGGACGGACGGACGGACGGATGGATGCAGACTATAGCATTATTATCATTTTTTTATCCAGCAACATAAACCTGTTTCTGTTATTATAGGTAACAAGGGCCCAGGTTCCTATAATTGCAGCTTCCTCCTGCTAGACATTGACGTCCATTAGCAGAGCACTTAACCTAAAGTTACCTACCAATCTGTGCTTTGGTGCATGGGTGCGATTAGGTGAATAAAGCTCAGATGTAAAATGCTTGAGTGATCAATATAAATCTACAGTGCTCTTTAAATTCAGTTAATTTATCATTGATTATCTTGAAATATTAAATGCATAAATTCGTTGCAACTTTTTATCAATTAAAATAAATTAATATCATTTATTGATTAATATTAATGAATGACATTGACTTCCCAACATAAAGCAAGCGGACCATCTCTTTAAAAATATATGGACATATCTTTTCAGCAGTTTGTTTTTTTACATTCTTTCTAGATATATAATAAGGATGGTTGGTTGTTGCTGAAGTTAATTTGAAAGATAATTACATAACCCTATCTGTACTTCAAAAAAAACAATATGCAGAAATTGTAGACCTTAGAAATTCCTAAAAGAGAAAAGTAAATCATTCTCATAAGCAGGAGAAGTAATCAAGAAGATAGAGACCTTTCAAAGGAGGCACTGATCTTTTTTTGTCTTTTGAGTCATTAAAAACAAATCAAATACATATTTCTTGGGACGTATTTCTCTTTTTATTTCCAAATATAAAAAATTCAATGTGACTAATTATTCGACTGTTGTTGAGGTGATCACCTCCCTTTTTTTTTTTTTGCAGTGGTAGCCCATAGTGTAAACAGGTTCAAATAACACTGGCTTAGATGGTGGTTCAGTTTGGAGCCTTGAAGCAAGAAGGATTCCTGGCCCAGGGTCTTTCTGCATGAAGTTTGCAGGTTCTCCTGTGCATGTGTGGGTTCTCTCTGGGTACTCCGGCTTCCTCCCACAGTCCAAAACCATTACCCCATTTACACTACCCTTGAAAAACCGTGCCGAGACCGGTCCGAGCTCAGTAACTAAGATAACTTATCGTGTGTAAATATAAAGCAAACTGAACTGAACCGAGCTAGACACAACCAAACCGCTCTAACTGTAGACCAGTTCCAGAGGTGGGCTCGGCTCGGTTTTTCCCTGGCTCGGTTCTCTGATAACAAGAGCGCATGAGCAGAGCGCGTCATCTCCGTCTGGCTGCACATCCCGATTCACACTCCATTCCAGTAGTTGGTGGTAATGCCCCTCCGGAAGTTGCTTGCCAACCAACACAAAACAGAAGAAGAAAAACTATAAACAACAATCAAAATCTTCTCCACGCAGCATTTTAAATAATGGCATTTTAAATAATAGCACTGAAGTACAGCAACAATAATCAAGCATAACGTTCTGAATGTGACGGGCGCCGCAATTTTGATTTGCTTGATTCCCTCCTTCATCGTCTTCTTCTTCTTGTGTTTTATGGCGGTCGGCAAACAACTTTTGGTGCATTACCGCCACCAACTGCTTGATTTCCTCCTTCAATACTGGCAGTAATACGGCAGATCACTAGGAGGCGAGGAGTCGAGGAACCGAGATAGCGCGATGTGTAAAAGGCCGTCAGAACTGAGCTCGGCCTGGTTAACTGATCCGAGCTCGGACCAGTCTCAGCAAGGATCTGTTTTTCAAGGGTAGTGTAAAAGGTGGAACATGACTGATTATTAAGTTGATTGGCATCTCTAGATTGTCCTTAGGTGTGCATCTCTGTGTTACCCTGCGACAGACTGGCGACCTGTCCAGGGTGTACCTGAACAGGAAGTCAAAGGTTTATTTGATAAAAGGTCTTTGGGCTGTAGATTATCATTGCCTTTAATGATGTAGACAGAATATATGAGAATAAAAGTATAAGTGAGGCATTTTTTTTATCACTTTGTTTTCTTTGTCACTTGCCTACCCCTGAGTACTGCATTGTCCCTCAAATGGCGACATGCTTCTTTTATTACCGACTGTAATGCTTTCTGTCTGTATGTTGGTGCAAAGCCACAATAATGAACAATAATCTCAGAAGAGGCACATCCCACAGAAAACACAGGAAAGAAGTTGAGGGACAACACCCCATAAAAATGGCTGCATAAAAACAAGGTTACAGGCAGAGCTGAGAAAGGAGCTTCCTTTTGACTCTCTATGGTTAATTTAAGCATGGTAAATATTATTTTTCAGTTATTGAAAAAGTAATGGGATTCCCCCAAAAAGATAAATTAAATAGGTTTTTGCTTGTAAATGGTTCAACATTTTAGGGTTTACAATTGTTTTGGTTTCATATTTCATAGTTACGGTAGTTCTAAAACATATTTCACAATATACGAACTACCTAAATGTTAAAGTTTGGTTTAAATATCTTAAAACAAATTCAGACTTTACTTTCACACCCAGAAATTAAACTTTTTTTCTATTTTCTTGTATGTAAGTGAAAAGAAATAAACAAATATGCAAAACTATAAACTTGAGTTGAATAATTTCGTTAGTTTCCATTTCTACGAGGTCAACAGATTGTAAATAAACCTGATCATAAATTCTTTAACGAGTCTGACCTCAGTTGCATAACTTGTTTTAAGCAGAATTCTAACATGCAATGATTTGTTTTTAAAATAAATAAAATGAAGAGCAAGGTCCTCAAGTAGAGTTTTCCACATAAAATACTGAGGAGAAGGAATCAACATGTTGAGAAGATTTATGATTGTAACTCACATACAGAAGAGGCAAAAATCATCTTGTGGTTTGGGTGTTTCTCTTTTAACTTACCCTTTTCTCTCCCTGCTGCAGAACAATGTTTTCTGGCTTCAGGTCCCTGTGGATAATCCTCTTACTGTGGAGGTAGGTCAGAGCCGAAGCTACGGAAAAGAGATTTATATATATATATATATATATATATATATATATATATATATATATATATATATATATATATATATATATATATATATATCTTGGAGACACATTTATCTTTTGGGAAATATTGGAAAGTACAGTTAAAAGTTACAAAAGAGATGGAAAATCCTGTCTCACACTGCAGAAACGATAAACTATCTACATACCAACTCTAATTGGTGCATTTAGTGAGAACTGTTTTTGTTCAATAGAATTGATTTAAAAAGTTTATCTTGGGATTTTAAGAAATATTACTCACCATTTAATATTGGTTTAATTATTCTACTGAAAGTAGTCACATATCTTGTATTATCACTTTACAAATGTTTAATCCGTTAGCTTACTCTGCTTGCATTCAAGGCTTTTTTCATTATGATGTTAATCTGTGTTTTTTGCTTTGTTTCCATTCCAGTTGTCTCTACGTCACCATAGATATTGCACCATGGAGCAAAACACATGCAGCGGAAGTTTGGATAAAAAAGTGGAAAAGTTTAACATCAAGGGTCTGATCTTCAAACATTTCAAATGAAGGCAATTAAATTAGATCATATCAGTTTGCATCTGACATTCACAAGTACTAAAACAAATGCAAAAACTGCAACCTCAGTTGAGTTTTAGATTTTGGAAATGTTCCATCCAAAGATTTGTGCGGTTTGGTCATTAGACTATGATTTGCATTCTGATAAAGGCACACGCAACAAAAGCTTTTCACCCGCCGTCTGCTCAACGGCAAACATAAATTACTTTGTGAAACAAACAGGCTTGCAACTGTTTTAAGACACACACATCTTGTGAAAATCAGACCCTAAGTATGCAAAAGCTCAAACAAATATTGTAAGTTAAAAGGTATATGGGAGAAGTGGCACTTGAAATACAGAATGAATGTTGGGAGCTGAATGAAGCGGGAGCTAAAGATGCTAAATGGCCTGAGAAAGTATTGCCAACAAATGATAACATGCAACAATGCTTGCGTCTGTTGATTTTATTTGGTTTAAAAATGTTGTTCATCAAGGTAAAAAGTAAACACTATTAGAAACCAGTACTTGGCGAATATAGTTTTATTTGAAGATAAATAGATGTTTTCTCTCTTTTTTTTTTCATAGGTATGGTGCATTGCTAGGCTCCTTTAAACTAATCCTTTTTTTTCATTCGAAATGCAATGAAATACTATATACAGTGTTTTTAACTGGTGGAATCTGGAAACTTTTATGGTTAATTTAATTTTATTTCTTGCCCCCTGTAATGTACACAAAGCATATGAAGGGATGGATAATTCATATATGGCTGGTCTTAATGACAAAAAAATCATAATCATAAAATTTAGACCAGACTCATATTAAGCAATTAAGCACATTTTGCCCGCTACCAGGACAAGTGAGCAACAAATATTTTCCACTGTCAATAAAAGTAGGTGAAAAATGGTCACATGTTTTCTTTTTCTGAATCTCTTGAAAAATAAGGCATTAAGCTGCCATTTGTTTTGTTTTTCCAAGTACACTTTCATTTTTTTGGCATTTCAAACACACAGGATTTAATTTAAAGGTCTTTCAAAAAAAAGTCTGTCTTGGTCCATCCCCTCATGGCTGGCATCCTTGGAAACTAGAGAGCATTGCATTTCCAAAATACCTATGGCAGTTCTTTGTCTGATGTTAATACGGGGGCTGCCATTTTCATTTGTAATGGAGGTTATAAAAGTGGAGGTAGGCGTCATTCTCAGGTTTGTGTTTTTAAATTTTTGTTTTTATCATGGTGTTTTTAAGCTTATTTAAAAAAAAATGAAAGTGAGGCTCAAATATGCATTATCTTTATTTGTTTATTCACAAATTAGCCAGACATGGTAGCAGTTGCAATAGTTTTCCCACTGGAAAAAATACTCTTATGCCTTATCTTTACATGGATACCAAATGGTTACATTTAGAAGTGATAACTGTGAAATGATTAATGATTTCTGTGTGTACTTTCATGTGGAAATAGATTCTTGGTAAAATAGGCTAAAACTATGAAAATGCATTTTAATTCAGTGCTGACAGGATGCTAATTGATCCACAAACCACTACTGGTACCATTTATTAGAACGGAAATCTGATAATCTGATGATCTAATTCCATGAAAAAAGATAATGCATAGTACAACGTAATCCATAGTAGTCAACTATGACATTTTCGCTTTTGCTTTAGGCAGAATTTCCTTATTCTTTCATTATTTTTTATAAGAAACAATGAGCTAAGCTATGAGAGGGTAATAAAAACAAGCTTTTAGTCTGCTTTTTATGAGGACAAGAATAAAGACTTATGTATAGACTCAATAGAATAGAATGAAGGCTGCCTAGAATAAAGCCTATAGCCTGGAATAGAAACTGAAAAGTAACAGGTGTGCAACCAAAACTCTGAAGTCATCTCATGTGCGTCAGTAGTTGTTAGTGTGTGTGTGCTTACAAAGATTCTTCAGTAAAGAAGAACTTCCGCGTACTTAAACGTGTGTTTGAGTCTTTGGTTGTGGGTTGTTCACTTTTGTTTAGGCATTATCGGGAAAGTCCACCAAACTTCAGCAGGAGAAGGAGGTTCTGTGTTCCTGTGTGATTACAACTCTACTCCCATCTAAATCTGCTGTGACCCACATGCTGCGTTTTTCAACCTGCACTCAAATGCAAACAATTTATGTGTCAATGTTAGCGTCAAACTTGCATGACACAGTCACAAAGTTTGTGACTGTCTCAGTTGTTGACGCGAGCCTCAGCATGAGTGGGGCTATCATGGTGAGTAAACAGCAGGGGGTTTGGACTCACTGATGATACCACGGTGTTTCTCAGCAGAAAATTATTTTCCTTCAAACCTCAGGATATAACGGTCTGTGCCAGCTCGGCTCATCTTTTATAAAAATACCCTTCCCCTCCCTGAAATCTGAGCTGTGACATTGTATTAGTAGTGCTGATGTTGACAATTGAGCCTAATACTCACAAATGTCCCGTAGAAGAATGAGAATGGATCCCTCCCTCATTCCACAGCAGTTATCCAGGATGTTCAGATACTGCAGCAGAAAAACAAACATCTGTAATCCGGACACCATGGGTGTTGGGAAAAACCACATAAAAAAGGTTCAATAGTTTTCTTTTTTCAGTTGTTATTTTTGAAACTTTTACTTATTGGCTTTTCTCCCAAAACATCTTTTTTTCCTTTTAGGTAGTCATCTTTATAGAGAAGCATACACGGCAAACTAATTCACTCTGTGTTTTTATACATTTCATAGACAAATTCTTGGAACCAAGGAGTTTGCCTCATTAAAAAGTGCATAATGAGGCTTGTAATTTCTAGCATACATAAAGGTATAGTGGACGATGTTCTTTTTCTGGGTGGATCATCAAAATAAGTGGTCCTCCTTGTCAATCATTCTGGTGATATGTTTACATAAGGCCGTCCTACGTGCTCGTCCCCATTTTCACTTACCAGTGGTGACTCTGACATAGTGGAAAAATTGCAGATCTTCTTTTGAAAAGTAAGCTTGCATGATCGAACAAACAGCAACTTTTAAACAGAGTGTGCACAAGGAGAAATGGGCTCCTTCATGCTCTCACACGTGTTCATTCTTCGGAGTAGGTATAGGGTTGTGCATGTGCATTTTTTATTTTTTTTTAAAGCGGAGAGGGTGGGTCTTTTCAAAAAATTTGCGAAAATCCTCCACTATACCTTTAAATAAATTGTTTAGCTCTGGTCTAAATGAAGGGAAAGACAATTTATAAATTCGATTTTCCTCTGAAACTTGCAAAAAACTGCACGAAAGTCAAGATAAAACCTTCAGGTAAGATTGAGTTGAATAAAGCAATTGTTATTATGGGACTTTAGTATAAAAAGGAGCACTTTATTCTTGCATTTCTGTTATGGCTATTCGAGCCCTTATTTTGTAATAGTAAAGGAAATAGATATTGGGTTGCTTTATTATATTAGTCAAAAACACATTTAGCGGGTTAGCTGACAGCTGTTCAGTTTAAAAAATGGCACTGATGAAATCTCTCCTACTTTGAAACTAGATGTAAAACAATCTAGAAGTAATTAAAATATCTTATATTAAGTCTATTTACACTTAATTTGAGTAGGGAAATAAGATTGAGTAGGGATTTTTTACTCTTAAAATAAGATAATTAGATAAAATGTACTTGAAATAAGACAATAAAACAATTTCTTCCTTATTTTAAATTTTGTTCCATTGGCAAAGAGTCTCACTTTCCTCCCAAATTCAAGACAAAATGCGCTTATTTTGAGAAAATATGACTTATTAAGATTAACAATTATTTCCAGTGGTTGTCAGCAGCTTAGCTCTGTCAATTATAAATCGTGATAAAATTAAATCCATTTTTATTTTGCGTACAGTCTCCACCGCTCATTTTGTTTGTCCCTAAGACATCAGTTGTGTTTGTAGTGTTTTAAAATTCTGGTTATTTGGCGTAATGGGTTAAATTGTTGTGAATTTCAGTGTTTTTTTGTTTGTTTTTTTATCCTGTTTTTTTTTTTTTTTTTTTTTTTTTTTTTTATCCCATTGGGGAAATGGTGAAAACCATATGTGTTACCATATCTGTTCAGAAAAAAAGCCAGACTGAGGTTCTGTTAACTAAAGCAGCAGTGTATTGTTTTTAGCTTTTGTATTTTCATAATGATATGATATGAAGACAAATGCACAAAGAAAGATCTGGGAAAACAAATTAGGTAAGAATCTTACTAAATAATTATTCAATGTTATTCAGCAATTAAAAATGAGATGTGACCTGGTGAGCTCAAACCAAATGCAGGTCCAGCCACACTGTGCTATATACCTTTCTTAAATCTCCGCCCTGACAGTACTCCATGGCGAGTAGCGGCAGGTCATTAGTGGCCACCAGTCTCTGCATCCCCTCAGGAACGTCTCGTGCAGCAACCACATTAACATGGTCCAGCCTGAGTAAAATCAGAGCAGCAGACATCAGAACAGCAAGGTGCATTTATTTAAGGCATTTTGTGGAAAGCTTAAACATTTTCAATTAAAAATATCCCAATTTGCTGAATTTAAAGGGGTTATAGAATGAGTTTAAAGATGAATAACGATATTTAAGTGGGTCAAATGGACGTAGGAGAAGTTCAAACCCCATCATCTCCTCCTTTCTCTGCAAATATCACAATTCTAAACTTCCACCATGAAACGGGAGAATCCAAACGAAGCCCCGAATTGATGTCAATTCAGGGATGTTGCCTTATTTGGTTCTTGCCTGTATTTTTGTCACACCCCAAAATGTACATATAGTCCAGCCATTAGGTTAACTGGCCCAAGAACATGAATAGAAGTAGATGTAAGGCACCAGTTTAGCTTTTTATCCTACAGTTGGGTTTACTTCTACAAATATTAAAAAGCAGGCAGTTTCTCTATTGAAAATTAGCTAGAACCATGGGTGAAATGCAATGTTCCAGGCTGCATGGAGAAAGGGGAAATTTTTCAGTTTTTCCAAGGATCTGAAGACTCGACAGGCATGGATTATTTTTGTCTATTAGAAAATCTCTGCGAAGTTTGAAACTCAGCTGTTTGTTTGCTCGAAGAATTTTACAGAATTTTAACAGCTTTCAAAATCTTGGACAGTTCAAAGCAGGTTTTCTAAACTTCTTTTACTGAACCGAGTGGCTGTTCCGACCGTAAGACCATCACAACCGCAAGCTGTAAGCATTATTTTGTGGCTAAGCTGTTGATAGCAATGCTTGCATATCTATGGTGACCAGATGCTGGTTTCTGGAAAAGAGGACCAGCTCCAGGGCTGGTCTGGGAAACCTGGTGAACAGGGCTGTGAGTCAGCTGGGGACAGAGCGACCGAACCAGACCCAGTGAGGGTATGCTTCCCCCTGCCTGCCTTACCCGATAAGGCCTTATTGCTTGTTGCTATGATGCGTCTTTGCTCAGCAGTATTGCTTGTTGTAAACCAACCAATCAGCACACAGCGAGCCTTTTAACAAGGCTTGCATTAGGGAACAGCAAATATGCCATTTTCAGCCCGACCAATGTTACACACTCTATTCAGAGACCTTAAGGACCAGCACCAAATACCCGATATAATCATTCTATGACCCCTTTAAACAACTGAAGTAAATTGTACTTACTACTCTGGCCACATAGCAATAGATTTGCCTTTGCTTTTTTTGCTCCTATCTAATACTATGCAGTCACTCGTTTTTATTTCATGATCACAGTTACTAAGGAGCAATCTGTTTAAAGGGTGGACAACTACAAGTATCTGGGCGCTATCATTGATGACAAATTGACTTTTAACAAGAACAGTGAGGCAGTAATTAATTAATTGAACTTTATTCATCTCATATTGGAGAAATGTACCTCTGCATTTAACCCATCCCCTTGGGGAGCAGTGGACAGCCATCGCGGGGCGCCCGGGGAGCAGTGTGGGGTTAAGGGTGTTGCTCAGAGACCCAGAGTGGCAGTCTGTGGGAGTGGGACTTGAACTCAGAACCTCAGGATTCCAAGCTCTATGCCCTAACCACTAGGCTGCCACTCCCCAAGTAGGCAAGAGGGGACATCTATCTTCTGAATTTATTCCGTCTTAACATCGATAGGACTACATTGCCCTTTTTTAAAGTATAATGTTTTCATTGACTCAGTGTTATCTTTTTCTTTAGTGTCTTGGCTTGGTCATTGATCACTACAGGACCCCCCTAAAGAAAATCACCAAATGGGTTAGGAGACTAATTGGGTAGCCTCCACTCTCCTTGACTTCTTTTTATGAGACACAGTTACAACATAAAGCCGACTGTATGCCCTTTGAATGGCGTGTTCCAGCTCCTTCACTCTGGCCGTTGTTTTTAAGCCCCTAAAGGAAGGTCAACATGGTACAGGAAGGGTTTCTGTCAACAGCGATTGTTATGCTGAATAATCTTGTTCATACTGATCAATGGACGTGAAGCACTTTTTACTGACCACAATTATTTAAGTATTTTATATTTCAAAATGTGTGTTTTGTTGTTATCTTGTTTGTCTCGATGTAACTCACATTAATTGTCTTACTGTCTTTATTCATGTCTGTACAACAACTTTACCAGCACTACAGGACTGTAAAAATAAACAAACTTTGAACCTCATAGAATAATATGAATCCTTTGACTTTTCACGTCCCAAACACTAACATGAAATATTACAAGATGTCATTTGGAGTCAGTGAAATCTGTTGTAAACTCAATTTATATTACATCAACCACATATTAAAATTAAATAAATTGTATTTTAAAACAGGCATGATATTATATAATACGTTTTACCTTTAGTTTAATTCTCTCTGCTGTCTCTTTTAGGATTATAAACTCTGAGGCCTTGTATCAAACAACAAACAAAAAGATTAAGTCATTCCAGTTGTAGTAGAGAAAAACTATTCCATGTTAAAATGACATACCCCTAAGATGTTTTGGATTTTCCTCCATTTCTAACATATTTGTCAAAAGGAATGCAGTCAAAGCTTTTTAAGATGACACATTTGTTTTAATTTCTATAAAGGTCAGTGTAAATATGGCAGAATCTGAAGTATTTTGCATCCATCTTCATTAGTTCTTCCAAAGGATGGATCGTTTAAAATAATAACACTATATAAATATAAACTCCTGAAAGTTATAAACCGTTATCCCGAATAAATATGAAATAATATCTGGTCTGTTTCCTTTAATGAAGCATAAGCATCTTTGAGATTTAAGCATGTTTTGGTATTAAAAAAGACAAATATAACCTTTAGCAGCCAACCTTTTTTTCCCCACATGCTTTGGGACATTAGCCTTATCTAATTTATCAAAAATAATAAAAAAAATAGAAGAGGATCACATAGAACTGAAAAAGATTATTGCTTAACGTCGGCTCTCACGACTGACGCCATGTGCAACAGTGTCGACGACGGTATTTAAAAAGATAATTTGAATCAAAAAAGGCAAACAGACTCATCAATGTGAAAAGAAGTTTTAAACAGAGCAGTAGTGATGTCCAAGTGACATCACAGATGCTGTATTGATCTCATGCTACATTGACTGAAGTCATAGCTGTGTTTAGCCTGAGGAACAAACGAGTATGTGGCTACAGAGAAAAAAAACTTTGAATGACAGTTGTTAGTGTCACTTTACATTAGAATGTAAACCAACTCTCTTCCATCCACCAAGTCAAGACAGAAAGAATATAAAGGATACTTGTGCTGTTCTTGCAGTCAATGCAAAGAAAACAATAGACTCCCACTGATGCAAAGAGGCTGGATGTCTTACCCAACAGTAAAACAGGACATTAATCTATAAATCCAAATTATTGTTTTACTATTGATAATCATTGTAGATTTAGGGCAGGAATTTTCTTTTTTTTTTTTAAATCTTGGCTGGTAACTATAAAAATGCCTTTTGTAAATCCAACTTTGGAGATAAAACACAGAAACTGCAGAATAAGTCACTTTTCATGGTTCGACGAAATCTTTCAACAAATGAAAGAATAGCCCAATTAAAACTTGGTAAACATATTATAACTGCCAAAACAAGGCGAGATGTTTTCCAGTGGACACGCAAATCTGGGTTAAGAAGCTGCTATAATATAATAGCTAATGTTGCTATGTCCCCTGCCCTGTGGTTTTTCCATGAATGAAGCGTGGGTGCATTGGGTCGTTGTGGTTTTAACCATGTCTGTGCAAAAAATAACACACTTGTTAAAGTGAGAATGAGGAAAATGGAGCTTGCACCATCAAATATAACAAAACACACGCACACTTTGCATCTGACAAACATCCCATCCCACACGAGCTGGCACACCACTGCGGGGACTGACACCTAAACGGAAACCGCTCACAGATGTGTTTGGATATAAAATGCAGAGGAAAATCAGAAGATGGAACACAGCGGTGCTAGAAATAACCAAAGTCACCAAAATAACTGAAACAGCCAAGCTACTTTAATTATTTAATGCGTGATTTTTTTAAAATTCTATTTAGGGAAACCTAATTTGTCTTTATTTTAAGACAAAAAACCTGAGTAAGAGACGGGGGCATGAAAATGTAAAACCCCCAAACACCGAAAACATCATGGAAAGTACAAAGTTGGCTCATAAAACGATTAACTCAAAAAGAATAAGGCCTAGGAAGAAATCTAACAGCAAAAACAAATTTTGTGAAAAAAAACAACAAAAAACCCCCAGAGAGAAAAATTTCAACACATGTATAAAATTTTGTGAAAAAAATACCTGGATTATGATTGCATTTTAACAAATCCAATGCATTTTTTCTCCCTTTTTTTTTTTTTACTTTTTGGACTTTTACCTCATTGTAAGCATGACATTGCTTTAATTTGTGGGACACTGAGACATATATGGCAGTCCTGCAGTACTATGGATAGTAGGAGCTTTTCTATGTGTAATGCAGCCAGCGTGACCAGACATTAATTAGTGAGCTTGAAGAGTCGGACACAAGAGTTATGACCCATAATATCGATTGAGAGCGATGTTGGACAGACCTAGAAAACCTCCAAAGGGAATCTAAGGAGCCTTCTTTCAGTCTAATCCACCCTTAAAGCTTCAGTGTGTAATAATTACAGGGATATACAGTCAGAAATGTAATATATTATACATAACTATGTTATTTATCATCATCAACGAGCTCAGCCTCTTAACCTTAATATTTGCGTTGCCTTAGAATTCGTTATTTATAATTACATAGGAGCGGGTCTCGCAGCCATGGAGGCAGACATCTTTGCGCTACGCCAGCGCAGATGCGGGAGATGTTCATGTTGCTGCAGTCTGCAGTCTGACCGCTAGATGTCGCTAAAAGTTACACACTGTAGCTTTAAGGGTGGATTAGACTTCTTCAACCGCACACATCAAATGTCGCCTGGCGTCTGGTCACGAAGCAGTTTTGTTTGTATGCTTCTGCAACTTCGATTTGGAATTTCTAGGGATGCACAGCAGTTTCCCGCCAAAGCATTAGGGGAAGCCTATTCGAGAACTCGCGAGAACTTCGTCGGAAGGTCACGATGAACTTCTTCGGTGGTGCCAGCGTGAGTGTTTATTTTCCAAAACAACATGTCTGAGGCATCATACAAGTGGTTGTACTTCCAAACCTCCTCGATCAACCTTTCGGCGTGGTTATCCATTGTTGTTATTAATCCTCGGTTTTTAAAAATGGCGTGCCGTCTGACGTGTAGTCAGGATTTTTTTGAGGTGTGCCGTGACGGCTGCAGAGCCTCTGCGCGGGGGGAGACAGATTTGACGGTTGAAGAGGCTATGCGTCAGAAGTATAAATTGGCCTTTAGAAAACACTTGAGCAAGAGCAAAATATAACTTTTAATTACAGGGGTTTGCAGGGACCAAGGGTTGATAAGAAGATTCAATATATAGGTTCAAATTGGCAACAAAACTAATTATCCCCAAGTACTTAACACTAAATCAGATTTAGTTATGACATAATAAAATATTTGTTTTTCTAACCTTTTAAATCTTAACTCAAAATATATTTTAAAAGCCTCTGTACAAACTTATGGTTTCTAAGACTTAAAAATCTTACTTTAAAACGACAGAGGAAGTCAAAAACCATTCCAGATGCAGTCATGAAGGAAAAACAAAATATATAGATTCAAGGAAAAACAAAAACAAATGCATGTATAGGGGAAGAATAAAAATGTCTCTTCCCTATGAACATGAACCCGTGGGACCAGGAAACCTACCTCCTCATGATCTGTATCTCCAGACACCAGCGCTCTTTGTTTCTTTCACTCAGCTCCTGACGACATTGCTTTAAAGCAATCTGTTCCTCTGTGTCCTGGAAGCACAAACATACACTCAGGTTTACACCATTCCAGAGGACTAACATTACATTACAGTATATTTACAACTTCCCTGTCTGCCGATGCTCTGCTATAATCCTCCCAAGCACACACACAAAAAAATTCATTTTGAAAAACTCACACGAAGAGAAAAGACAATTAGGAGAAATTTATTGGTACAATTACTTTGTCTTTGGCGCTCAGACCTCGGCAGGAAACATAGTGCTTGATTTTGATAGATATGCACAGTCTATAAGGAGCAAAGAACAGGGCTGTTTCCCCCCAGGCCTGAAACTGGTGGTGGAGTGGAGATAGATGAAGCTGGTCAGTTTGTAGACTGCTGGTTAGAGAGACGATATGCTGAGCTTTATCGGGAGATCCAGTTGACTGCGTGAGCTGATACTAAAGTTTCACTCAGGGACCTGGAAGATCGAAGTCCAGTTTGATAACAGGTTGAGAGAACCTGTCCATGATGAGCAAGCATGGAGCGACAGTGGAGAGGAAAAACTCCCCGTTGGGAAGAAACCTCTGGCAGAACCAGGCTCAACATGGCGGTTTTCTGCCGTACCGGTTAAGATGAGACAGGGAACGCAGTAAGAGTCTGGAGGAATGACACTCTGATGAAGCTTTAGCTGGAGGAGGGGCTGCAGGTGGGTTGAAACGGTGTCATCTAAATGAAGTCACACAGCGCATCTGCCGCCCGCATGCAGGAGCAGACAGGTGCGTATTAAGATGAACTTTGGAAGCCGATTGGCTTTCGTGGAGGTGTGATTCAAAGCTGATTGGATGTGTCGTAGCTGGATTTAGGCAAGCAATGAGTTTCTTTAGTCGAACTTCCGCCTAGGCTCAATATGTCAAAGGACTAGTTCTGCCATTTAAAAGTTTTGTTTGGATTTCATTCAAGACAGAAAACAGTCTTGGATATTTGCCTTTAAAAATATTTAATGGGACACGCTTTAGCGAGCAGTTAGAATGAAACAAATTTCAATCAGCCAATTAAAGCTACCATTGTTATTCCAGTTCAGCTGTTTAATAAGAAGCTTGTATGCTCTCAAAGTTAATAAAACTTTGCATCACAGATGCAAATAGCATATGAATAAACTGTAATCCAGGCCAGTTAACACAATTGTACTGGAATCATTTATCCTCTTTATCAGCAATAGAAAGCCCTATATTTCACTTTAATTTGGCTTGTTTAGATTTATTATGATTAAACAACACTTCTTTGACATTTATTCATATTTGGGGAAAAGAAATTAAAACCTGGGAGCAAATCCATGCTAACAACTGGCTGCCTTTTAATTAAATTAAAAAAACAAAGTTTGATTGGATTAATTAATAAACAGAATTATTTTACTATGGTGATTTATATGAGTGAACAGAAAGGCTCTTAACTAAATGAAAGTTGCTTCAAATCTTAATCTGCATGTTGAGCTGTGATTGCCCCAGTGATTTAACACATACTGTGAAAAAACAACTAATTAGTGCAAGAATGAATTTATGTCTAATGGAGTGAAATGGTAAAGAGGAATAAATAGAAAAAAAAGAAACAAAAAGAAAACAAGATGCAAAAAGGCAAAGAAACCAGTTGTGATCTGTCAAAATAAAAAGCATGTTAAAGCTTGTTTCAAACTTTGTTGCTGAAGATATTATGGAAAATATTTTGTTGCAGGAAAAAAGCAGTTTAGTCATTAAACACAACAAGGGGATTTGCTATGAATATCATCCCAAATAACACATTCCTTTGACTGAGGTTTGCACATGGAGACATAAAGGTATCACTCTCGGTGACACCTAGAGCTGAAGGTAAGAAGGATGGACAAATGTAAAGCAACATTCTTGATAAGGACAAATTGGGATTTCGAAGCAGCACAATAGTTCCAAAAACACAGACATGGAAACAGTTTATTGGTTCAGTGAAAGAGATTAAAACTGATAGAACGGCTAAGAATTGTCTGACTTATATATTTGACATAAATCTTCGAAAAGAATATAGAAAGTGATTGCATAGAAAATAAATAGAAATGATCCCCTGGTCCTTTAAGATTTGAGGACAATTTGTGAGGAAGAATGGGTTAAAAATTACATCAGTAAAGCATGTGAGCATGTTCTAATTATGACTTACCTTAAATATGTCAAAAACAAAAAAACAAATAAATAAATTCCACAAAGCATCTAAAATATTTGTTAAACCAATATTACATTTGTGTCCATCCATTTTGTCCAAAGATTTCCTTTAAAGACAAGCTTGTAACTGTGGATAACTTGGGATGTTACAAACATCTGGAGCAACTGGAAGTCAGTGACCTGCTAAGAATATTTAATGGCTTTTCTTAAGGTTGGTTTGGGAGCTGGGTCTATACTAATGATAACTTTCACCTTGATATTGTGGTGTGTTTGCCAGCAGGTAAAAGCTCACGCTGAAACTAAGGTCCAGTCGCGAGGCCCTTTATTTAGGTAATAAAGGGATGGGACGATTTATGAAAACCGTCCGAACCGTTCAGTTCGACTGTCTCGGTTCGGTTCGCGTGTGTTTCATTCGGTTCATGCGCTGCTCCTTTTTCTCATAGGCGAAGCGTTTACACTCCAGAGCAGAAGGTGGCGGTACTGCGACCAAAGCCAACTACCAGTGGTAAACAAGAAGAAGAAGAAGCGGAGCAGCTTAGCCGGGTGTAGCAGAAAAAAATCAGATGTTGTGGAGAATTGTGTGGGAATGGCGAGTGGGAAAGAACAGGAGTTGGAAGACACGCCAGCAGCACTTTATAGGTCTGCTGTATGGGAACGCTTTGCATTTAGAGTGACCTACGATGACGGCGGAAAGAAAGTTGTGGATAAAAGGGCAACAGTGTGCAAGCATTGTGCAACACGTTTTGTTTCTGCTAACAGCAACATGACCAACATGTCATGCTAACCCCGAAATCCCTCATACTCCGTCAGCGCTCCGCCCCGCTGCGCTCCAGACCGGCTGCTCAAAGCAAAGCCTACAGCCCCCACTGTGGCTCCCGTCCGCTCCCCTCTCTCTCCCTTGGAGATGGTAGAGAGCATGCGCGAGATGAATTAAATTCAAAGCAGCAAAACATACGGAGATGATCCAGGGTTTCCACGGATCATTTAAAATAATTACAATCCATTATTTTTTGGGGGATTTTTTCATTAATTCCATAAATTTTTATGGGATTTCGGTGTAACAATCAACATGTATCGAACCGAACCGAAAACCGTGACCAGAAACCGTGAATCGAACCGAACCGTGGATTTTGTGAACCGTTCCACCCCTAATTTAATACAATAAAACAGGAAATGCTTGTTCCTTTATATCCAACAGGTGAAACATTCTTCCAGTGGTGCTAATGTTAACACTTACAACTGCAACCTCCAGAGCATAATGTTAGCTTGGCATGAACAGACTACCGACATAAAAAAAAAAAACCTTATTTAACACAAAACTAGGATAAAATGGTATGTTTTTCCTATCTTGTCATTACCCAGCAGCCCTTGCAGCTGCTCTGGCCTCACAGGACAGTAAAATGACTGCTTGAGTGACTGGTGGACAAAGGAGAAATAGAGCTTGGACTGACTGACACAAAGCTACTGGGTGTAAATGATTCATCATGACCTGTTATAGAGGCCTACAGTTCATAATTCATGTTAATCTGAATAAAAACTTATTAAAGGGATAGTTCGGGATTTTTGACATGAATCTGTATGGCATCCCCATCACCAGTGTCATGCAATCACACTGACTTACCCCTGGCAGCATCCTGTGAGCAGAGTTCTCGTCCAGCTTTGGTCAAGCTGAAAGTAGTCCGGCAGGTTTGCTAGACCCAGCGAAATAAAACGTTTCTCTTCCCAAAACATTATGTGTTCAAAAGAGCGATATTTTTGCATCCCAAAAACATTGTAGTGGAAAAAGTCACACGTCGTTATCACTTGGTCCTATTTTCTCTCTGTTCGTACCAGTGCGCGCCGTCATTCTGACAGCGAGCTCAACAACAGCCAGATGCAAGTCTCGCTCCGCCTAGCTAGGAGCTAGGCGGAGCGAGACATGCATCTGGCTGTTGTCAGGTTAGTAGGCCCTAGCTGTCAGGTCATGGTGTCGCGCGCACTGATATGAACAGAGAGAAAATAGGACCAAGTGATAACGACGTGTGACTTTTTCCACTACAATGTTTTTGGGATGCAAAAATATCGCTCTTTTGAACACATAATGTTTTGGGAAGAGAAACGTTTTATTTCGCTGGGTCTAGCAAACCTGCCGGACTACTTTCGGCTTGACCAAAGCTGGACGAGAACTCTGCTCACAGGATGCTGCCAGGGGTAAGTCAGTGTGATTGCATGACACTGGTGATGGGGATGCCATACAGATTCATGTCAAAAATCCCGAACTATCCCTTTAAACACAAACGCATCTTATTGAATATTATTTATTTTCAGCACCAGTTATTATAGAAAAGCTCTCTCAAGCAGTTTCTGATGCATTCTGGAAACAGTAGATTAGCCTCTGGTCTAATGCGCCACCTGGTTTGAGAAACCTGTTCAAAGACTTACTTTTACTTATTATTTAGGTAGCACACACATATGATCATTATCTTATTTTATTCTTATCCTTCTTATTTTATTATTATATCTTATGTTTACTTACAAACTTAATTTTCTCTCTTCTGTAAACAGCTGCACTGCAAATAAAATATTTCCTGCAAGGAATTAATAAAGTAATTCTTATTCCCCACCCTGCTGGTGGTGTAATGTGTAGGGGACATCAATCAGCACACCTGGGTCCTTTGCTGCGTATCATTTAAACCTATCTCAGTTTTGCTGGCATTTCTAAATGACCCAAGTCATATGGCTGTTTCCAGTAGAATCATTTTGCATAAACTGTATTAAAGCTCTAATAAAATTGGGTGTGCTGGAGATGTGCAGCAAACAAATCAGCAGCAAGAGCAAAGCTAACATGGCTATACTGACAAAAATCCTAATAGTTTATTCTATGCAAAAAAATAAAAATACAGCTGTTTTGATGGGAAAAGAATGTCCAACCCAGTGCAAGCAAGGTGTATCCAATAAAAAAGCTTGTGAGTGTATTTCCCATTTCCAAAAATAAGCTCCCTCCTTCAGTTTCTCATCAAGGAAATGATACCACCCGTCTCCCCACCATCCGGCTTTCCCAATTAAATCCCAGACCGCCCTGTGTTCAATCACCCAATCGTAATCAACAGGGACATTATTAATGCAGGAAGACAGGAAACTTTCTATGCAGGATGTTTAGTCATGGTAGCAGAGGCTCCACCAATAAACTAGTCCTCATGTTCTCTTAAAGCCTGAAATGTACCTCCACATGGTTTCATTATGATGTAATTGATCATAAAGAAAATATTTTAAAAATCTACCTCGTCCCAGATTAATATGGTATTAATGGAGCAGACAAACTGCAATCTGAATAAAATATTCAACAGAAAGTGTTGGAGAATCTACCGTAAGCATTAGCACTGACTCAGCAGGAGGCTGCAGCCCACAGTAAAGGTGAGTATGAACACAACATGCAGCTGTAATAAAAGGAACAGGAAGGTTCACCAAGGACAGAGAGTTCACACTCCCATACTCTACTCTTACTGGTATTACAGTTGTTCTTAGCTCATCTTCCTATGACTTATTAAACATTTCAGAAGCAACAATTGCACCAAACTGACCGTTTCCTGGACTGAGGTCATTCATCCTCTCTATATAAAGCAAGTGGAAAATCTAATGCTTTTGCTTGACATTAGTTTCTTCCTCTTAGTCAAAGATTTAGTCATAGATGAACGCAAAAACGAATCATATTTTGTTAGGGCTGGTTAATTAATTGCATTTGCAATACAATTACAATATTCAAATCATAGAGGCACTCAGTTTTGTCGGAGTATGACACTGACTTTCTCACTCTAGTCTTTTACGTGGCGGTAATATGCTTAAAGTGGGTTTGCTGCGACACAAAAAGGAGGATTTTTTGTCAAATCATTTAACACTAAATTTTTGATTTGTTGTTACATCATGAGCTCTTTTCTCTTGTTACACATCTTGCATGTAAACATAAATGAATAAAGGAAGCAGGAACTGCCTTCTGTTTTAGAGTTATATAAATGAAGGAGGTCCAGTTATTGTTTTCTGTAAGCTAGGTCTCACATTACAGGTGACTGAAAATAAAAGTTGTTTAATGCACCTTAACAATGGTTCAAAATTTACAGATGTCAAAAAATACAGTAGAAATAAAGGTATTTTTATAAAGGTGTATAAACTTCTTGGTTCAACAGTTTTGTACTTCCCTCTATCTGTTATTATTTTTGTTTTTAGGAAGTGAATCTAGGTCAGATTTTTCATGCTAAGAGAAATAGAATGGGTACATTTTATTTTATTCTAAGTATTCTTAAGACGCCTTAAATTGCGCAGACACGCAAAATATTACTATATCTTTTTTGCTTTTTTTTCCTTCCATAAGCTTCTGAAAATTTGGGACCTACTGAAAAAATGAATACAAACATAAACTGAGGATTCAAGACTCTGGCACTCTGATCTTTATCCTCTTTTCTGAGACACTTAAAACTGTTTGGAATCACCAGAAGTATAGAATAAAGAATAAGACACTGTTAGGGATGGTTGCTGTTCCAGACTATGATTTGCTTTACCTTATTTTGCCATCTTGTGACATTCCCGAAGCCTCCAGTGCCGAGCCGCTCCTTCAGCTCCCATGGCCCGCAGGTCTGCGGCTGCTGCAGTGGGACCCGATTCATGGCCTCCTTGCCTAAACTCAGCAAAATGACAAGATAGGAGCTTTATCGAATATCCTTAAGAAAAAGTGATTAAACTGCTTAGTTTTGTACAGGATATTCTAGAAAAAAAAAACAAAAAAAAAAAACAAATAAACCATCTAAAGTATAAACTTGAACTGTCAAAAGGCTGAACCACAAACACTTAAACCAAATGATAAAAAAGCTCATAAAAATACTTTTTTAAAACCCCTGAATGATTATCAAGAATGATTTACATTCAGTTTTGACTCAAACCGCTGCTTCAGATGAAAGGAAATAAGATTTAAATGTTTAGAACTCACAACAAAAACCATTAATGTGGCCCAATTGTTTAACTTTTGCTAAAGTGCAGTCTCACGAGCCAAAATGCGTGCTAAAGTGCCTTCTACAGCGGTTAGGGTGTGCTGTATGTGTTTATTTTTTCTCTTTCTGCCCCTGCCATTTAAAAGGTCTGTGCACAGCACTGCCACTGTGGTGGAAGAAGGATAGCAGCCCCACACTGGGGAAATTCAGATCAGCATTTAAAACAAACAAAATAAAAAGTACAGTTACATGGTTTATTAGAAAACCAATTAAATTAATTTTGTGCAACTGATTAGGATGATTTGAAAGCGTATAAAATGTGCATGATTGTGTATAAAGAAACTGGAACAGAGTATTAACAAAAAAAATGGAACGTGTCAAAGTCAGTTTGTTGGGAACGGAGATGATTATAAAGTATAACAGCAGCTGAGAAGTAGAATCTGCAACAGCGTTCCTTTGTGCACCTCTGGCGCTGAAGTCTGTCACTGGAGGGGCTCTCAAGCTCTACTAAAACTTCCTACATGGAGTGGGACATATTTTTCCATCACAGATATTATTTTTGCTGCAGTCCTACTGTCTCCCATCTCCTTCACTGGGTCCAGGCAGCATCCCAGGACAGAGCTGGCCACCCTGATGAGCTTATCTGATAAACTACAACATATTATGTAACAATACATGTTTTTTTTGTTTTTTGTTTTTGTTGAATGTAATTGTTTCTATGGAGATTGCAACGTGCCCCTTGGGGTTTTCCCAGCAATTGTAAAGCATGTCTTTTTGTGAAACATACACTGTGTGCAGAATTAAGCAAGTTGTATTTTTGAGGATTATTTTTATTATTGGGCCACAATTGTGTTCTCAATCAACCCAAAAGACTCCTTAATATCAAAGTGTCATATTTTTTTTAAGTTGATGTGTTGTTTTTTTTTAGATTTGGCCATTTTAGGAGGATGTCTGTCTGTGCAGGTAAATATTACTGTGCAGAATTACTAGGCAACATAATAAAAAACAAATATATGCCCATCTCACTTGTTTATTTTCACCAGGTAAACTAATATAACAACTCAAAATTCAGAAATAAACATTTGCGACATAAAAAAACAAAAACAAATCAGTGACCAATATAGCCACCTTTCTTCACCATGACACTCAAAAGCCTTCCATCCGTAGATTCTGTCAGTGTCTTGATCTGTTTGTGATCCACATTGCGTGCAGCAGCCACCACAGCCTCCCAGACACTGTTCAGAGAGGTGGACTGTTTACCCTCCCTGTAGATCTCACATTTCATGAAGGACCCCAGGTTCTCCATGGGGTTCAGATCAGGTGAACAAGGGGGCCATGTCATTATTTTTCCTCCTTTTAGACTTTCTCTGGCCAGCCACGCTGTGGAGTATTTTGATGCGTGTGACGGAGCATTGTCCTGCATGAATATCCTGTTTTTCTTGAATGACGCCGACTTCTTCTTGTACCACTGTTGGAGAAGGTGTCTTCCAGAAACTGGCAGTAGGTCCGGGAGTTGATCTTGACTCCATCATCAACCCAAAAAAGGTCCCACAAGTTAATCTTTGATGATACCAGTACCTCACCTCCACCTTGCTGGTGTCTGAGTCGATAAGGAACTTGCTGCCCTTTACTGATCCAGCCTGGTGCCCATCCATCTAACCTATCAAGACTCACTCTTATTTCATCAGACCAAAACACCTTGGAGAAATCAGTCTTCAGATATTTCTTGTCCCAATCTTGACATTTTGTCCTGTGTGTCTTGTTCAAAGGTGGCCTTTTTTCGGCTTTTCTTACCTTGGCCAGGTCCCTGAGTATTGAGCACCTTGTGCTTCTCTGCCCTCTAGACATGTTGCAGCTCTGAAATATGGTACAACTGGTGGCTGATGGCTTCCTGTCAAGTTCACGCTTGATCTCAAATTATGGGGAGTTATTTTGCGTCTTCTTTTTCCAACACGCTTCTTGCGCCCCTGTTGGCTATTTGCCATGAAACGCTTGATTGTGCTACGATCCCGCTATAAAAGCTTCGCGATATCCAAACCTTTAAAAGACATCTGACAATTTTTGACTTTTCAGAGTCTGTCAAATACTTTTCTGACCCATTTTGCCAAAGGCAAAGAAGTTGCCTATTAATTAGGCACACCTTATATAGGGTGTTGATGTCATTAGGCCACACCCCTTCTCATTACAGAGATGCACACCACCTGATTTACTTATAATTGGTAGTTGGCTTTCAAGCCTATAGAGCTTGGAGTAGCACAACATGTCTGAAAGGGATGATGTGGTCGAAATACTCATTTGCTTAATAATTCTGTACACAGTGTAAAACACTGTTTATATCATTTTGTTGCAGTGAAAATAAAGAAATAAAAACACAGCTTAGAATCTGGCTGAACCTAGAAGAGAATCAACTGTTTAAATAAAGGAAAAATGTCTACTAAAAATATTTGAAAGCTTGAATTATTAAAAAATTGACTACATGGACTAAAAATATTTCAAGTAATCTTACCTAAATGAATCTGTGGGGAATACTAAAGATTATGGTGCTGAAAGGAGGCCTCTCAACTCTTAAAGGTTTAAAAAAAAAGACATTCAGAAAGCTTGTAAGCTCCTATATAAAGGTTTTGAATGTTGTTAATAAACGTGTCTATACTATTTAATGACAAATATTTAAATAATTTTTAATGTACTCTGTACGCCTAAAACATTTTACTATTATCAGATTGGAAATGACTTTATGTAGCCTTCCCATGACTGAAACTGTATGTTTTAGGTAAGAATAGAGTCATAAAGCTGTCATTGCATCCATGTTTTAGGCTTTAATCATAAAATTTCTTCAAATGGAAATGCTATAAAAACATCTCTTTCCCGGGTGTTAGTTGTTATTACAGCGGACTCCAGCTGGACTTTCGCAGTTTGTTTTTATCAAGAGGAGCGCCTCGTCCTACCTTTAACTTTCTCTGCAGCGTCTTTCTTGGCTTTCTTTAAACTCTCCTCTGTCTATTTGTGTATTTAGGGTCTTTCCACCTCTGCTGTAGTTATTTTGGCGTCGGCCAAACTCACAGCAGTCTGTCTACTTCCTGATAATCGCATTTCCTGTAAAACTTCAAAAAAAAAAAAAAAAAAAAAAACTCCGACCCGCCCACTCAATGTTCACTGCAGTCACCTTCCTGCGGGGTTTTAGTGAGTTTGTTGGGGTTTCTATTGGAGTTCAATGCTTAAAAATACAGAATAAAAAATAAATAAAAAAAAAAAACTCTATTTGAGACTAATTAATGAATGTTATGCTTTTGCTTTTGGTTTCTTCATGTTTTCCAGATTTGGTAGAATCCCTCTTCCCTAAAAACACTGCAGTTTTAGACCCAGATTATTTTTCTCCCTTCTCACTGGCTCTTGTTTTACGGAAGAGGATTAGGGCCACTGGAAAAAAAAAAAAAAAAAGTTTACTGATTTTTAAATTTTAGTTCAGTTTAGTATGGAAAAAAGTCAGAATTCTGACTTTCTCAGAATTCTGACGTTCTCAGAATTCTGACTTTAATCTCAGAATTCTGAATTTTTTCTCAGAACTCTTACTGAATTCTGACAATAAAAAGTCAGAATTCTTATGGAGAACTTCATTTGGAGAAATTTAATAATTAAAGCCTAAAACATAGATGCATTGACAGCTTTATGACTCTATTCTGACCTAAAACATACAGTTTCAGTCATAGGAAGGCTATATAAAGTCATTTCCAATCTGATAATAATAACATATTTTAGGCGTACATGGTACATTAAAAACTAATTAGATATTTGTCATTAAATAGTATAGACACGTTTATTAACTTTGCAGCATTCAAAACCTTTCTATAGGAGCTTACAAGCTTTCTGAATGTTTTTTTCAACCTTTAAGGGTTGAGAGGCCTCCTTGTTATCACCATAATCTTTAGCATTCCCCACAGATTCATTTAGGTAAAATTAATTGAAATATTTTTAGTACATGTAGTCAATTTTAATAATTCAAGCTTTCAAACATTTTCTGAGATTAAAGTCAGAATTCTGAGAAAAAAGTCAGAATTCTGAGATTAAAGTCAGAATTCTGACTTTTTTCCCATACTAAACTGAAATAAAATCTTAAAATCAGTAAAAAAAAAAATTTCTTTCCAGTGGCCCCAATCCTCTTCCGTACTTTTTACATTTAAGATAAAGAAAATATATAGAAATAAACATTTTGTAATATATACTAATAGGATTTCCGATGTTAAGCTTAACTGCAATTTGCTGTCTAAAAGTCTGCAACACAAAATTTTAAATATACAGTGGTGTCAAAAGTACACACATTTGTTTCTTAAAAAAACACTCTGGTAAAAGTTCAAGTATCAACTCAAAAACTACTTAAAGTATAAAAGTATAAAGTAACCTTTAAAAAAACAGCCAGATGCCACTATATGAATCTAGATCATAGATCATGATCATGAGCTCTATCTTCACCATGACAGATTGATACAGGGCCTGCTTCACTGCAGATGCAGCACCAATCTGTCTACCGATCTTCTGCTCCATTCTTCCCCCATTCTACTACACTTGGGCAAGACTTCTTACTTCCTTTTCCTTTTCCAGGCTGCCACCTTACCGTGGTGGGGCGTCTGAGTTTCCCAATGATCCTATGAACTATGGTGTCAGGGGCTTTCATGCTCCCAGAGGGATCACTCAAGGTAGACAGGTCCACGAAGCATGGAGTCGTTCAGAGCTCAAAGAAGAATCATGGTCCTTACTTCCGATAGTCCCAGTACTTGTAGGCCGAAGAGGTCAGGTGCATTATGCAATAGGTGGAAGCCAGGTACGAGGATCTTGGCAATCCTAGACTGCGAATAATCTAATGTTCATTCAAGTAGTCTGTGATTAATCTAAAACTGCATGCGTCTACTTACTTTTGTACCTAATCTGTGGGTCTCTGCGGCTCCCCAAGAGGTACGAATGGCTTCCTGGCTAAGGCTGAAGGTTATAATAATAATACATTTTGTTTCATGGCGCCTTTCTGGACACTCAAGGTCACCATACAAAAAAAAAAAAAAAAACACAATATGTCTTATTTTTAACACAGTTATGTCTTATTTTACCATAGAAAGACTCAGAATGAGACAAGGAATTAGAGACTTTATGGTCTTAAATAGATATAATTATTTTGGTGCATAGAGCCTGGCAGAAGTGTGACAATGGAGATGTCTTTCCTAGGCCATGGACACACTGGCAGTGGACTGGAAGAGGCAGTAGGGAGGGCGCAGGTGAGGCTTGGCAGGGTCTTTCAAATTGAAAATACTTTTAGGCTCCATTAGGTTTATATTTGTTTGTATTTCATAATGTTGTATAAAGCAGAACTCTGAAAGATGTATATATCTCTGGATAATGTTTCATTACCGAATTCTGTTTTGAACCTCTCCACAACTTCATTCTTGACCTGCTTTTGTTCTTTGATCTTCATGACAATGTTGTCTAATAAGCTTCTAAATCCTTTAAAAAAAGAGAAGGATTTGCACCAATGTTGAATTACATAATAGTGTCCTGGATTTGTTTATGTGGTACTGTTTGACGCTTTTGATTTTTATTTTATATATATATATATATATATATATATATATATATATATATATATATATATATATATATATATATTTTTTTTTTTTTGATTAGTTATAATCTTATTTCTGTGGAGGAATTATCTCCAATCTAAATAGATCATTTGTAGGGGAGTTCGGTGTTGATTGCCAGAGTCATCATATCTGGGCCAGCATAGGCCAGTGTAAAATAATTTTTTAACTGAAACTTTCAATAACTAGATTCAACATAACTCACTGGTTAGAACATTTGGCGGAAAAGCCATCAGAGGACCTGTAACTTTTTGATTAGAAAATATTTTTTCCCAGATGAATAGAAATATTCTCCTTATTTAAGAAAACAGCATGTTAAAGTTAATACTTTTCTCTTTATATTGGCATATTTTTTTATTTATTACAAGTAGGATATTTTTTTCCTCTGATGGATAAAAAAATGTACCAGTTAGCTTAGCTATAACGAAAAATAATACACAAATAAATAAAAATCCAGTTGATGCCCCCTTCTTTTTTGCCATCCACTCTCAAATGCCCATTTGCAAAAAATGGGAAGAGAATCAGATAGACAAATAATTTTGGTGTATTCATGGAAAGAAATCAGGGCCTCTCAATGAGGACCCATGATGCTACACATTTAGCATGGCCCGGTGCTTTTAATATAAGAATGTCAATTAAATCTTATTTTCATCTGTTTTCTCCACATGTTTAAATTCAAATAAAACTGATGTTTCTTTATTAATTTTAGAATGTCTTTTTCTTGAACTATAAATTATTTTAATTCCATGAATATGTTGATCAGTAAATAAAAATCATACAAAACATATAAAAGTTAAGCTAAAATTGGACAGATCTGTCAAATATTATTTTCACTTCACATTGAAAGAATAAAATCCAGAAGAATTAAATGTTCAAGTTGATAAAAATTATTTTTGGGCAGTCATTAATATCTTTGGCTGAGAGGGGGAAAACGCCCAAAGGTTTATACAACTTAAAAAAGGTTGGGAACCACTGCCGTAGGGTGCGGCAAACAATGCAGTGTTGGTTTTGGTTGTCACAGGTCAACCTTTTTGATTTAGTGATCAATTACTTTTGAATCAAAAAAAAGATAGTGGTTTTCAGTAAAAATATTACCTGAGACTAGTTTTGTCCTGATATAAACGTTTTGTTTTTTTCTAGGAATTTGGACAATTGTGGAAAAAAAATTACAAGCATCACCGGTTTTTCCTAATTGGGTTCTAGCAAACCTACATTTAGCGTTTACAGGCCACTCTAGGAAGGTTAAATGTCGTTAGGAAACAAGAAAAGATGCCCGCTTGGCTTTGGATTTAATGTTTAGGATATCAGGTCCTGGGCAAACTTCCCTTGCTTTCTTGGACAAACAACTTTAGTGTAACTTATTTTTTTATTATTATTTTTTTTATATAGCACTTTAACAGTATTTGGATGACCCTCAAATAATCTAAACCTCTTAAAAATTCATTCTTTACAAGGCTATTAAGATTTTATTTAGAGTGGTTTTAAGTCTGTCAACACTAATTAGTAATACACAATGTTTCAGCGGTATTATTCATGTCCATTAGCCCAGTTTAATCTAAACTACGTATTTCCTTACGACATCTTATAACTCGGCTGGGTCATTGTTGACCCAGCGGATGTTGTAATTGGAGAACCACTTGAGATTTTCCAGCTGAATGACGTTTTGTTTTCATTGCCTGCTATTCCTGGAGATTAACAGGCTCAAAAATGTATCAGAAAAATAACAGCAAACATTGGATACACATCTGACGTTTCTTTTATAAAGAGTTTTTGTTTGTCAAAAACATGTGATCTAGAGAAATGTTTAAAAGTGGTTTTCAAAATGTTCTAATGAGGGGGGGGATGCAAAGCTTCAGCAAAAAAGCTTAAGCAAAACTTCTAATAAGTTTATTTTCTTAATTAGTACCACTAAGTACTACGGTAATAGTCAAATGTCTGATATAGTTTCTTATGACTTATCACTATACAATCAATTATTGTTTTCTTTACTTGAATGAAAGATATTAAAGTATTTTTATATCTGGTGTTATGAACCATTGTTTTTGCTTCACTTGACCAAGTTTTAAATAAATTATTTTTAACATTTATGACAAAAAAAAAAGAAAAGCAATCATCTTTCTACTGTCATTATTCCAGATTTTAGACAACTTGGAAACGTTTCCCAGAGTAACTGTTGTCATCTTCAAACTAGGAATTTTTCCCTGTCTTATTCCTTATGGATTTAAAATAAATCTATCAATTGTAAGATTGTTTGATTACAGCAGAGGCACAAGTAGGCTTAAAAACAAAGGTGTATCCAACGGGTCTGAGGTGGATTCTTATTAAAGTAGTTGTCATGATCTTGGCACTGATGGCTGGATGGATTACCCGTTTCATTCACCTGTCTATCTTCGCCCAATTCTCATTACTGTTCATCTGATCCACCTGCTTCAGTCTCTATTTAAACAGCCTTCAACGAGTCATCAGTGCCAGATTATT